CCCACGTGTGATTTTAAGTTTGGACACCTTCTTAAGACTTGCTAATGAACCTCACTTAGCCAGCATCCTCATTAGCTGATGCAGAGCCATAGCGAATGTGCTGCCTCGTCAGCACTGAAAATGGACAAAGGAGAAAACCTGACAGAGAATGAAATCTCAAGGATCACATCATTGAACCTGAATCAAACTTTCCCTGTGACCTGGAAAGCATCTGGCAGATTTTCAGTAGACCATCTGGGGCAGAGCACAGTTATCAATTAATGCACATGTTTCCCAGCTTTAGTTTGATAAAAGCCCTTCCTGAGAGCCCTTTCAGGAGCTGTACAATATAAAGTATCTTTATATTGGGTTACATGTCCTAAACCTTGTTTATCCTCAGGCTTGTGTCTGCATGTGGATAACCTGCTATTGGGTTTGAAGCAGAAGGACCTCTGATGCCATATAATCCTGAATTTAATTGCTTGGTGATTGATACAGAATGTGCTCTGTCCTGCCACACTCTGGTCTCCACTCTGTACACGCACAAAATGAGCTTCAATGGGCCCTGAAACTGCAGCACAGAGAAGGTTTCTATGTGTTTATTTCTTGTCCCGTTGGGACTGATCTTCTCTGCCATCACGGCCGCTTCTAAAATGCACCTTCTGCTTGTGTGCCCACATGCCTGGAGAGTCAAAAGAAACTGGTGCTGTAGTGGTAAAACCTCTCTCTTGGTTTTCCTCCAGGAAAAGATTTTGGTGAAGGGGATGGCAGGTGGGAGAGGAGGTTGTAGAAATGTCCATGCCCGAGGCTGGAGCCTTCATCTCTTTCTGCAAATGGCAGATGCATCCTCTGTGCCTCTTGCTTTATTGGTGGGGTCTGTTCTGCGATGATGCTCGCGTTGTGTCTGTGTGACTTGGAGCTGTTGTGTTTGTACAGGTGACTGGAGCAAGACTAGTTATCCCCGTTCCCCCTCTCCTTGCACTGCTGGATTTCTTACTCATTAAATCAGGTAGCATTGCTGGCTCCTCACCATCTCAGCCATGGCTCCACATGCAGGAGAAGCAGCTTTTCTCTTGGGAATTCAAATTAAACTTCTGCTAGAGAATTCCCTGGGTAGCAGGACCCAAAATGCAGTTCCCTATCATGAGAAGAGACTTTTTTCTTTCTAGTTCTGGGTATAGATACCCTGCAGCTGCCTGATGCTCGTGCGCAGGGAAGCAGCCTGGTGTGCAGAGGATGCCCTCCTTGTTACCGCTTCCATCGCTGAAGCTGTGGTGAAGCAGAGGTTTATTTCCCACTGTGAAGGCATGGAGTGTTCTTGGACTCTAATGTGGACTCAGAAAAACTTCCTTTAGCACACGTGTGTCTTTATTAAGCATGTTGTGCTAAAGAGAACACACCTAACTCTGGTAGAGGTGGTGTAGAACTGGGGGTTTCATTGGGCTTTCACTAACCGTTTATTGCTCCTCGTTGAATGTGGATTTCCCACCACTTAAAGCGACTGCTGTTCCTTTACTTTCTCTCATTCCTAGTACAAGATGCAACACAAGGGAGATGAACAGCTGAGGCAAACCAGGCTGATGCATCTCATTTTTGTTACTTTTGGTACCTCTTTCCCATTCATCCTGACACCACCTTGGTTTTGTTGAACTTCTCAGCCTCACTCAAAAGGGATAAAGTTCCTTTTACTCCTGCCCTAAGAGATGCAGTGGGTACCTGTGGGAGTGTTGGCACGTCAGCACCAACAGGGAAGGAAAGAAGAAGGAGATTTCAGGAGACAAGTAACGAAATAAGACACTGAATGTAAATCTTTGCATAAAACCAGCTGAGCCCAGGGGACATGAGGGAAAATGAACGTGTAGGGAGAACACCACCATGGTTTTTCTCATGATTTCTGAGTGTTTAAAAGTGTGGCTGAGCTAAATAGGCAACTTCCTAATACCTGAGCAAGGGGCAGCTCCACTGTGTTAAATGGAAATGGAGGAACCCATTTCCCACCCTTTGGAAAGGTAGGGCTGAAGGAGAGATACTTCAAGAAGACACTTGGAAATGGGATCATAAAAGGAATGATTACTGTATATATCGGTTTGTATATATTGCTTTGAAGATCTGGGTGGATGCAAGTGCCTTGAGAAGAGCTGACCTTCTGTAGGAGTCTGCTCTGAAAGGAGTAGGCAACTGCTGGAGAGGGGACAGCAGAGGCTACAAAGATGCTGAGGGGCCTGGAGCATCTCTCTTATGAGGAGAGGCTGAGGGACTTGGGTCTTTTTAGTCTGGAGAAGAGAAGGCTGAGGGGGGATCTGATCAACACCTATAAATACTTCAAGGGTGGGTGTCAGGAGGATGGGGCTGGTCTTTTTCCAGTGGTGCCCAGGGACAGGACAAGAGGGAACGGGCACAAACTTGAATGTAAGTTCCATGTAAACATGAGGAAGAGTTTCTTTGCTGTGAGGGTGGCAGAGCCCTGGCAGAGGCTGCCCAGAGAGGTGGTGCAGTCTCCTTCTCTGGAGACATTCAAACCCCCCTGGACACGTTCCTGTGGGACCTGCTCTGGGTGGCCCTGCTCTGGCAGGGGGTTGGACTGATCTCCAGAGGTCCCTTCCAACCCCATATCATTCTGTGATTCTGTGTGAGTATCTTGGGCCTGAATCTCTAAAATGGGCATACATTCCCCGTGTACATACATGTCACTTCACAGCTTACAAACTCCAAACCCCCTCTGAAACTGTCCAGCTCTGAGTCAATCCATAATTTTTCTCCCCAGTTGTGTCCTGTGCCTTGTTACCTTGGATTAATTGATTTGAAACGCTGGTTTTGGCAGCTGTACTCTGGTTCCCTGGTATCTTACTGCTTCCCTTCGGGCAAAGGACCTGAGCATGTTCCCCGGCCTCTTCTCCTCAAGTCTCTCCTGTGTTGTGTTATGTTTCCCAATGTGCTGTACTTGGTTCCATCCTTCTTAGCCCACTTTTGATATTGTTAACACCTCTTTTTGTTGCAAAGCCCCTCTCTGTGCAGCTGAGAAGCCCAGGTGGTGCCTCTGCTGTCAGGGGGGTGTTTGCTTTGGCAAATCCGACCTTTAAAACTGAGTATTGCTCGTGGGGGTGAGAAGGTTTCAATACCTTCAAGACTGCTGTTTCCATCAGGTTTTTTTCTTTCAGTTGACCTTCTTCAGGCCTTTGACAGAACAGCTGCCTCCTGGGTTGCTTTTTAGGTTTCCTTCCCCCACCTGGTTGCTTTTGTGTGTTGGCTTGTGAAGTTTTTCGTGGGGAGTAGAATTTGTCCTGCTTTGAATGAGTAGCTCCAAAGCTGCTAGGCTATTTCATTATTTATATAGGGCAATAAAAAAGATCAGTATTATTGCTGTATATGTAACAGTGCAGCTTCAGCTTTTCTTTGGCTTTCTCAGCGTGGTAAGGCTTTTATACAGCAGTATTCCAGAGCCTGTGCTTTTGGGCAGTTACAGTCACGTTTTCTTTGGATAATAAATAATAACACCAGCCTTTGAACTCAAAACATAAAATCTTAATGTAAATGTTTCGTAAAGTATAACTGTGGCAGAGACACAGCTCATTCCAGTGATAGATGATAAATGCAGTCATTTTGACAAGTTGAAATGGCCGGATTTGTCCATGCAGAGCAGATTTTATCTGTGTTGTTCTACTGAAGGTGGTTACTTCTAGCAAATCCTGAAAATGTTCCTTATCTTGTTCTGTGAAGAAACCCTGGTGAAAACTAAATAATTAAGTTCATGATTGAAAACCTGGTTAGTATGATTGCAAAATCACTCATCCACCAGATTAATAATTGAGAACTTTTTGCCCAGACTGGCTAAATTTCTTTATGAAGGATAGTGGGAACTACAGGAGTCGTATTGCTGAGAATGACAGCTCTGATTTGAAATCTGAGAGTTGAAATAGTTAATTGGTAACTAGACAGCTGTTTAACCCAAGGGCAAGTTCAGATGGCTGCAGCGCCTCAGTGATTGCTGGTTTTGCTTAAGCTCTCAAGGACTGCAAGTATTCCATTCGTAAGCAAATGAATGGGTGGTGCTTACCACGCTCTAGCATCTTGGCCTTCTGGTCATCTCTTCTGGTTCTTCTCATTGTACAAAGACCAAGAAAGAGTTCCCTGACATAGGAAGGTGAGAAGGGAAAAACTGCAGGTCTTCCCTTTCCCCCTCTCTTCCCTTTCCCCCTCTCTTCCCTTTCCCCCTCTCTTCCCTTTCCCCCTCTCTTCCCTTTCCCCCTCTCTTCCCTTTCCCCCTCTCTTCCCTTTCCCCCTCTCTTCCCTTTCCCCCTCTCTTCCCTTTCCCCCTCTCTTCCCTTTCCCCCTCTCTTCCCTTTCCCCCTCTCTTCCCTTTCCCCCTCTCTTCCCTTTCCCCCTCTCTTCCCTTTCCCCCTCTCTTCCCTTTCCCCCTCTCTTCCCTTTCCCCCTCTCTTCCCTTTCCCCCTCTCTTCCCTTTCCCCCTCTCTTCCCTTTCCCCCTCTCTTCCCTTTCCCCCTCTCTTCCCTTTCCCCCTCTCTTCCCTTTCCCCCTCTCTTCCCTTTCCCCCTCTCTTCCCTTTCCCCCTCTCTTCCCTTTCCCCCTCTCTTCCCTTTCCCCCTCTCTTCCCTTTCCCCCTCTCTTCCCTTTCCCCCTCTCTTCCCTTTCCCCCTCTCTTCCCTTTCCCCCTCTCTAAATTTGATTTTTTTTCAGTGGGTCACGTTAAGCTTTTGTGCTTTGGGTAGGAGTGACAGACCTGCAGACTGTTTTCCAGTGGCTCCTCAGGGAGAGCAGCTCACAGTGGGTGAGGATGCCCTCGATTGTCTGGGATGACCATGGCCAGCTGGTGAATAGCTGCCCTCAGATAGCTCAGTGAGAGTGTTACTTGCACACAGAACTGTGCAGGTGCTTTTCTGAGGCTGACACACTGAACTGAGCCACTGAACTAAGCACCTGATTAATGTTGTCTTTTCTTGTATTTTTTTTTTTTTTTGCCTTTTCTCTGTTGCCTGCCTTTTTCCTTTTACTGCTTAACCCAGAAAAACTGATTGAGGGACTCAAATCTCCTGAGACTGCGCTTCTGCTCCCTGATATCCTGCCTCTTGCTGACCCCTTCGGTAGCACGTCAGACGCTGTGAATGGTAAAAATAACCTCAGGGCACCTCCTCCCTCTGTCTCACATGGCATGTCTTGTCCCGCATGATAACTCTGCCTGTTTCCCCCCGCCCCGGGCTCTCAAAGCAGCCACTGATGTCTGTGAAATGCAATGATGTGGGAAGTTATGGATTATGCTGAGACAAATCTGCCTTTTCCCCATGAGACCAGCCTCTGAGCAGTGAAGACTGGGTATTTGCACTTAAAATCTAGAGTTAAAGATTTGGCACAATAACATGGCACGATTGTGCCTTGTGTGTTCTTCTGGTCTTGGTAGAAGAAAGTTAATCGCTGACTGAAGGTGAAGATGCAAAAAATCCCTCCACTTCTGCTAAAGACTTTGTCTGTAACCCTGGCCCAGGCACTGAGCCTGCTGCTCTCCACTGACCCCCAGCAGGATGGCATTGCCTCTGACCTGGGGCAAATGCTGAGAATAACCCTCCTGGGCTGCCCGGAGTCCAGAGGCAACAGGCTCTGGACAGTATAAAGATCTCAGTGTTGCAGAATCGTATTTTGCCAAATGTACTAAAGACTAATAATTGCAGGCTGCAGTGAGTTGCAATCAGCTGCTGTGGTGGTTTCAGGTCCCACCAGGGTCCCCTGGCTCGCTGGTTGCAACCTTGTAGCTTTGAATAAAAAGGTAGGAAATAAGTCACTTTTTCTTCTTCTCCCTTTTACAACTTTTGGCAGTTGTCTGAATATTCTTAAACAATGATCCTGCAAATCACAGATACACACACTGCTATGCAGACAAAGACATTCATTAATCTCCCAGGTTTGCCAGTTGGTCCATTTTTGGTCCCAGCGTTTGAGTGCATCCTTGTTCTCTAACTTCTTGGTCATTACTGGTCTTTGAGTTGGAGACCCTGCCGGGCGTTACACCTGGCTGGTGTGACTGACAGTTACCTTCCGTGTCTCTCCACCTCCCCTTTATGCTTTGTATAAAACCAAATCTTTCTATCCAGCCTTTGTAAACATCTCCTTTTTGTATCCATGTAATGAACATCAACATGAGACGACAGTGGGGACCGGTGTTCTCAATGAGTTCCCAAACTGCAGTCCTTGCTCCGCTGGGCATTAAAGATGGAAAAAAGATCCCACCTCTTGGCTTTTTACAAGTGTATGGGAAGGGCTCCACAGAAGGTATTTTAATGATCTGTTACTTCCAATGCAAGAGGACTCCTTAAAGGTCAGTGTTTTCCTTTTGCTGGAAAAGGCTTTTGCAAAGGCTTGTAGCCATTTGCCCAGCCCTGGGCCTCCTGCTGCAGGGCAGGTGTTAGTGACCTTCCATCCCAGCCTCCAGAGATTTCATATTGGGCTTGCACAAATTAAAATAAATTATAAAATAACCCAATCAAACAAAAAAAACCCGCCCAAACCACAGAAGAACTCAAACCTGGCAAACACTAACGTGTTACAGTCTTCCCTTGTGATTAAATTAGCACTGGTCTAGGTTCTACCTCCTGTTGTTGCCAGTGTAGCTGACGCCTATTAAAGGGTCACAAAAGGATTCAGACAACTGCTACCTTAGTTCCTACTTGTGCTGTGTCTTGCAAACTAACCTCTGGCTTCTTCTCTGCTCTGGTATCTCGTGCGTTTGGAAAGGAAAACCCGACGTAGCTGTTGAGAGTCTCATTCCGGGCCTCGAGGCGCCGTTGCCCCAACGCCTGGTGTCCCAGACTGAGTCGGTTGCCTCCAACAGAACAGGTTGGTGAGGCAGGGGGGTGCTGGGGTGGGGGGATGCATCACACCCGTGTGGGCTGTGGAAATGGGAAAGCACTGTCTGCTTGAACATGAGCTTCTCTGCTGCTTTTCCCACCAGCGTAAGCTGGGCTTGTGTGTCTTTGTAAGTGGGTGCTGTGTGGTTCCTTGAAGGCCATTGTTGCTCACCTCCCTGTGAGAATCGGTGTGGTGCTCCCTCAGCCCACCGTTACACACCCGTGGGTGCCAGGGCATTGCTCCAGTGAAGTGCTTTTGAATCTGGAGCAGTCACTGGTTTTTGTCTGTTCCGTCGGGCCGTGGTGTTAAGCAATTCATGTCCCTCCTGGGTGTGAAGGCCTTTCCCTGCCCACTTCTGCAGGAGATGGGCTTGACCACCTCTTTTCAGAGGTCTGTTGTGAAATAGGCACCATGCTTTGTTGTGCCAGAGAGTCCCTGGGACCCTTCTCCCCGTGATCCCCTTCTCTCCCCCTGCTTTAACCTGTCTCTCGGGGGGGCTTTTGTTGTTGCACACTCAGCTTCAGAGGGCTGCCAGCCCCAGAGAACGTGCTTGATGTTGCTCAAGGTGTTGGGGATCCCTCTGCCCTCACTGCAGAGCAGTAAAAAATGTTTTCCAGAGTGAAAAGTGGTAGCTTTTGTGCTGGCTTTGCATCGAAGCTCTGGTTGTGTGTTAAGCGGACGGGAAGGGGAATGTGAGAATTTGAGCTTAATGGTGTTTGTGTCCTGTTTAACGCTGCCGTGCTGGATGGTGACCTGGATTCAGACTCTCTCACTGGGGAAGACTCTCTGCTTGACTGTTCTCTGCTTTCTAACCCTGCTGCTGACCTCTTGGATGAGTTTGCTCCCGTAGCTTTCACAACTCAACCTCACAAAGGTAAACTGTCCCCTGTCTCTAACACCTGACCAGTCCTGGGACACAGTCTTTACTGGGTGAAGCTGATACTGGTTTACACCACAAGATGCTCTGACCTCTCTTCTGGTGGTGTTACTTTTTCTATCCCCCCAAGCCATTGTTTTGTTTTCTTCCCAAGCTGGTGAAACTTGGAATGAGTGTTGAAGTACTAAGGGGAAAAGTATAGATAAAAGTATTCAGCTTGCCTGTGAAGATGAGGTTTGCCAAGACAGATGGCACCTTCTGTGAGATGGGGATACAGCAGAAGGGATGCAGTGGGCTTAAAGGGCAGGTGTTTGTGCACAGCCCTCCTTCGGGTCTGAAGTGAGTGCACGGGGCCTCACTTCTTGCACGTGGGATGCGAGACCTGGCTTTCTGCTGCATCGTTAACTCTGGAAGGGAGCCTGATAATCATCCCTGGTGTCACAGGCTTTTGAAATGAAAGGAGGCGTCTGACTGAGCTCCTTCATCTAGAGGACAACGTTGTGTCCTTTCCAGAGGTTATCAGGAGGAAGGTTCTGGAGTCAAACTGCAGTGTCACAGCAAATAGGAATGAAAGTCTAAGTGCAACATCCAACTGGAAAATGGAATGATTTCGTAACAACACAAAAAACCAGAGCTGAGGGGCAGAAGCAGAAAAGGTGTGGTGATTCCCAAGAGCTGCAGATCAGCCCTTGCAGTGTCAGTGTCTGAGCTTGAGTGGAATCGTGGAAATACCATGTGGTGATCAGAGTTCTGTTCTCTTTCCACTAACAAGCAAGAGGAGGGGACCGCGTGAGGCTGGTCCTAACTCAGATGTTGCTTTATTTTTTTTTTATGATTTCCCCCCTAAGCTGCAGAGCATCCAGCTGAAATCAGGGCCCTCTCCGTGCCGGTGGCTGGAGCGGGGGCACTGGAGGGTTCCAAAGAGCTATTGGCTGGAGAGCAGCTCGCACGGGGATTTTCCTGCTCTGCTCTTGCACATCCCCAGTGGGGGCTAAAGCAGTTGTGAGTGGTTCATGTGTACCCTGGGGACACCACCAGATGTTAGTGGATGGCTCTCACTTAAGCCAAGGCTGTAGTGAGCACTGGGTAGTGCACGGACACCCAGGTGAGAGGGGAGCCCGGGGTTTCTGTGCTGTTTATTGCCCGGAGCACAAATGCTGGGTGCCCCTTGATGATGGGTTTTGCTTAGCTCCTTTGGTAAGTATCCCTATAGCAACAGAAACCGATCTCTCCTCAGAGGAATGGCTGTAAAAACAGTCTGTAATCAATTTTTACACTTGATGGCACTTCATAATGAGTTTGTGTTTTTCATAGAGCTTTTGGGTTTAAACAAGCAGTCGTTGTAATTGCTCATTGCTATAATACACTTCCACGCCACTTTATTTTGAGTAAATGGCTTGAAATGTATGTCGAGCAGTTAGTACTCCCTGTCTGGAACACAACAAGGCCAAAACGTTGTTGGTGTGACTTAATGAGGAAATGAATTAACAGACTCCCGCTCTCCCAGGCTGCCCTGCTGCTCCCTTTGCAATGAGGAGGGCTCACGTTTGATGAGGAAAATGAGACTTCTGTTGGTGGGGTGGGGGGCCAAGATATTAAAATCTTCCAACATTCATTTCTGCCACCGTTTCAAACCCTGCTCTTACAGCTGTGGTCATCAACTCTACATCTGGATCAGGCTTTTCTTTTCAATTGCTTTGTGTAGCCAGTCCTGGCTCTGGTGATGTGAAGCCCCTGTGGGGCAGACCCTACTGTCCGTGGGTGTAACCAGCCTGTGGAGCTGCAGGGTATCAGCAGGGCCAGGAGGGCTTGGAAAAGCAGCCATGGTCTGGGCATGGACACATGGATACCATAACATCCTTTCCCTTGTCCTTTACTGAGCTGTTTTCTGGCCTCTGAATTTTTGCTCAGCCTTCAGGATTCCTTAATCTGCATTTGCTGACTACGGCCCCAAGCTGCGTGCACGAGAGGGGAGAATTCTTCTCCTGATGGGGAATATGTAGTCACTGAGGGGAGCTCAAACGCTTCTGAAGGAGTTTTGCCCAAACAGGGACACTTGCCAGCCTTTCTCTCTCCTTAGGAAAGATGGTCCATAATTGAGCAGTGCTCCTTCAGGAGCTTCTCGTAGAGCAAATGGAGCTGTGAGCAGTTGTGTGTATAAATGGGCTGGAATGGAAATAGCCTGTTTGCAAAGCTCCCAGGTAGGTTGAGAGGAGCCACAAATAAATAACTCCAGACACAGAGTGATGACAAGATGAGACTTTCTGTTAAGATGAAAGGTTTTTGTGGTTTTGACCCTTTTATAGGCTAGTCTTCTATAAAACTCCTGGGGGTTTTTCTGGGTCTGATCCTCCAGAGGACAGTGTGTTTGCACAAGTGGCTTCTTGCACCATCTCCCACAAACCTGTTGGCTCCTCTGTCAGCTTTGGGGAGAGAGCTGTTATTCATGACAGGAGTCAAACAGGAACGTTCCTGTTCCTTGTACATGTCCTTGCTGGGCTTTCAGAAATATTTCATGTGGTAATTGAGGACCTGATTTTGAAAGTTTTAGTTGTCTAAAGTAACAAATGGTGATGCACAGGGAGGGTGTGAAAGTCCCTAAAGGTATGGGATTGCCTGATAAGGCAGGTAAATGGCTCATCTGCTGTGGAGATTGTTGGAAGTGCCTCCCACCAAGTGTCTAACTGCAGCTGATGTGGTTTGAAATCAATGGAATTATGTGACAGAACTGCTCTAGGGGCCTTCAGAAAATCACTCTCGGTATCCAGTTACATCTTCAGGCACTTAAATTCCTTGAAAATCTGACTTCATGTTGCATTTCTGGTTTTATTACTCTAGGTGAAAGCTCAGGGGCTTTGTCTCATGTAGGTGACTGGAATTTCTTCTGTGTTATTTTTTCCCAGCCCTTTTCTTCTCCTTGTGCTTGAGAGCTGGTCACTGGAGAGCCAGACCGCGCTCTCCAACAGTACTAATATCTGGCAGCCCCTGGATGCTGACAGAGAGCACCTTCAGGCCTTGGGAACTGAAGCCCCAGGCTTTTACCACAGCTTTGAACTATGGTTGAGCCTTCAGATTGGCTGAATCTTATTCTGGTTCTCATGACTTGGCTCGCTTTTTGGTTTGTTTCCACCTCCCATCCCCCCTCCACTTTTGTATTTAATTGGCTTTCTTACTTCTTACCTTCTTTACCAAAGACTTACCAACTTTATTTCACCCTTTAAATGAAACTCCTGCTACTAAACCCCGTCTCTGAAAGCGTAAAGATGTTCTAACACTTTTTTAGCAATTCTAACCAGCTTTCTCTGCTATCTTTGCTTCTTTTCCTTTTGCTGTTTCTCCTTTCCGCTGCAGAAGATACTAACCTGATATCAGGCTTTGATGCTCCTGAGGGCTCTGAAAAAGTGACAGAAGATGAATTTGACCCAATTCCAGTGTTGATATCCAAAAATTCACAAGGTAAGCCAGGATTCGGGGGTGAAAAGGGGAAGGAAAAAGGAAAAGTTTTGGGGCAGTGGTGCTGCAGCACACGTGAAGTCATTCAAATTGTGAACTGCAAGATACTGTCACTGTAGTATTCAGTGAGCTTAGTCTGTCTCTGATTTATATAAACCTTGAAATTTCTCTACATTCTCTTTGTGAGAAGATTGCATGTCCAAAGAGATAATAGACGTGAAGCTTCTCTGGGTCCCATGAGGTAATTTCTGCCAGGCAGGGCACACAAGTGGCTACAGTGCAAAGGAGAATTGCCTTCTCCGATGTCCTTATTTACTGTTCAAGCCAGTAGGAGGTCCTTTGACTTCTAAGTGAACTTGGCATGAGGCACAAGAAGGAGAGATGATGATAACCCTTTATAACTCTGAGACTCCTGCTGAAAGTGGGTTTTTTTTTTCCCTTCTGACTCCAAAACAAGTCTTTCAAAGGTGCTTGTGGGAGCTGAGTGTGAGAAGTTTGGTGCACGGCACCCACCTCCTTTGAAGCACTTGGAGAAGTCAGAGTCCTTAGGACAGGGGTTGGAAGGTTTCTCCTGTCACAGCATTCCTGTCACCTACATCCCGTTAACGTGGAGCCCTGAGTTGGGGTTAGGGCTAAGCAGCAGCACTGCTTCTGTAAAAGAAATCATCGTGCTGCATTTTGTAGCCCTTGGAGGGACAGAAGTAGGGGTTTGCAGTCAGTCAATAGGTCTCCTCTCTGCCATCAGGCTGTTGAAAAGTTTTGATTACAACTTCCCATGTGTGAGCGTAGGTTTATAAACATCCTCCAGGGCTCCCTTTCTTTTGGTTTTGTTTCGGTTATTTATTATTTTTTTAGTTTGATGGTAGAAGTTCTTTGTTTTTTTTACTTCCCCAACTCCCCTTTTTGTTTACAGCAGCCATGTGCTGTACTAGCTCTGCATCGAGTGCTGCCTCCCAGAGACTGACACTCATGAGAAAAAGTGCTCAGACGTTAGAAACTCTGCTCCTGCTGAAAGTCAGAAAGTTGGGCCAAAACAGGCTCCCTTGAATAAGGAGGAGCATCTTTCCTTCAATATGAAAGTACCAATTAGAGAAAGCCACATGACAGCTCAGCTCTCCTTGAAGGAGCTGGCAACTCAAAGATGCTCTTAAAGCACTAACTAGTTTTTGATACCTAAAACTTAGTCCTTTCTATGAGGCTGTGGGAGTTCTTGTGATCCCTCTGTAGATCCTTTAGCAAGGACAGAATTCTGCAGCTTGGATGAGAAACTTGGGAAAAAGGAATGTTCTGTAGAGATTTGTTGGCTGCTGCGATGTTTTTCCAGGCAGAGCCAGCGAGCGGGGTGTGGGGGGAGCGGGTGGAGGAGCGAGCAGGGGAATGTTGTTGGTGTCACGATGAGAAAAGCTTGAGCAAATTTTCTGTTTTGCTTTGACTTTTTTCTTGCTTGCTTGCTCTTGAACATCTGAAACTGTCGTGTGTGTGTGTCCTGTTCAATACTGAATTCCTATCTCTCACACTTTCAGGTGGGCATTCTAGAAACAACAGTGGAAGCTCTGAGTCCAGTCTTCCCAACATAGCCAGGTCTTTACTGCTGGTGGATCAGCTCATAGACCTGTAGCAGTGACACAGTAGCAGACGCAGTTTCTGTAACGTACCTAATCCTCCATTTTCATTTCCAGAAGAGTTATCTTCCGTTGTGGTTCTTTTGGGCTGCTTTTTCCTTTTTTTTTTTTTTTTCCCTTTTTCCTTAATTAAAAGAAAAACCAATCTGCCAACAGGAGACAGTCACCCACCTTTCTCCCTGTCTTCCCGTGTGCTGGGAAAGAGCCTGTCTCAGTTCTCCAGGTAGTCCTCTCTCTAAAGCTGGTAAAAAACCCCTTGTGGTTCCTTCTGCACCGTCTTTGCTAGCCTGTGTCTCGAGGGAGCACCGCCGAGATGTGCACGTAGCGCCATGGAAAGCCTCACTGTACATGAAGTAGATAATTGTAGCTGCTGTGTGACCCCTGCGTGCTACAGACTCCTCTCTCCTTAGACTAGTGCGTGAACAACTGTGTTTCAATCTCTGTGTTTTTGGGTTTGGTTTTCTTGTTTCGTTCCTGTTTTCTAACGAAGGGGCAGGTGAAGTGGGTAGGGATGTCCCTCTCCTGCAGAATCCGGGTTAGGGCAGCCCATGTTTCTAGATTTGCCAGGAGGTGCTTCAGAGGAGGAGGAGGAGGAGGAGGAAGCCCTGAGCGACTCTGCCCTAGTCTTGCCCAGTCCCTCTGGTGATGGTGCAGATGAAGAGATTTTCCCGGACTGCCCCCAGCTCATGGTTTGCTCTTTAACAGTCCTGCTTGTGAATGAACTGCGCTTCCTTGGGGAGGGGGAAAAAGAAAAAAAAAAAAAGAAAAAAGAAAAAACCAAACCAGAACAGATTGTTAAAGCTGCAAAAATGACCCTAAGTAAAACATAACAAGGTTTTGAACCAAATACATGTGAGTATGGCCGTGACTAGCATTTTGTTTGACCTCTTTTGGATGAAAAGGGCATTGTGGCAGCGGAAGATGTATTTTCTGTGACTTTTCTGTGTTCGACCGGAAAAAAGAAAATCCCCCCCCAACCTACTGTAAATTGTGTATGAAACAAATTGTCCTACGGCTGTTTGTCTATTTTTAATCCTGGTTTTAGTCAAGCATCTGGTATCTGTTCTGGGTTCCCCGTTTTCTCTTGTAATTGCATATAGTGCAAACCAGTTGAGTATGGAACCATTTGTTTCAGTAGACAAAGATTCCTGTGGACTTTATTCCACTCCTCAGTCTCTGGGGAACAAGCATGCACTTGGTTCAGACGGTTTGAAATAAGTGCTGCTACAACGTGATGGGTTTCACCTTTTCTTTTTCCCTTCACATGCTTAGTTTGTCAACTAGCTGGATACGCTAAACTTGTTTTCATTGGCTTATGGTCATGAAGTCCGGAATTTCTATCTTGTATTTGAAAGCTCTTTCTGAACAGAAGGACTATTCCTCTGTAGTGGAATAATTAATAGCTTACTGCTAACCTTGTGTATGTGTATGTAGCTGTATTAGTAAAAGTGCAGTTTCCCACGTGCGAAAGTATGAACGACTGACATGTGTATGTACTGACCTCTCGCTGAGAAGGAAAGAAATCAAAGTTCCTGATTCCTCCTTTCCTATCTCCGGTCTCTCCGCTCTTCCCCCACCCCAACACTTAGTTTAACAAATTCTGTAAATAGATCTCCCATCGATTGTGTCTGCTCTACATTGCTCTTCTTTTAAAACCTACACTTAATAATAAAAGTATTGCTTAAGTGTGTTGTATCATTACATGTGTATACTGCACTTTCCAGGAGAAGCTTTACATGAGAACTATGGAAATGACCTTAGTAAAATTGTGGATAGAACTTTATTATTTTTTTGTTTTATATTCTTAAAGCACAGGCAAGCTGGACTGGAAAACATGAAGACACTATAGATAGAAAGTTATTGTATAGTCAGATACTGAGATTATATGAAAAGAGAATGGATTTTAAAAAGTAACCATCTACTGTATATTAGAAACAAAGATTTCTGTGAATTAAAGTACTTTTAAAGAATGTTTAAGATTTTAAATCTAATGGCACTTGTTCAAGGGTTCTGGAAAAAATTATAAATGCACTGGGTTGTTAATAATGCTATTAAATAAGCAGATGTGAATGTTTATTTTATTGCTTTCTCAAGTAGCTGTTCATGGATCTGGGTGGGAAATCCGATACGATGGAAGAATACACTTTCAGAGATGCTGATTATCTAGAGCTCCTTCATCAGAAAATACTTGCCATTTATTTGCGGAATGAATGGGAAGTGCGAGAGGTGAAATGAGTGGGTATTTGGGATTAATTGTAAGGTGTTCAAAAAATGTGACTGTCCTACAGGCGTTAGGTTAGTGTTGGCGTGTGCTAAAGCCGTGAGGAGTTTGTGTGAAAGCTGCTGCTGTGAAGGAACAAATGGACCTTTGAGCCGGTGTCCCCATGGGAGGTGTTTGGTACCAGCGTTCCCAAACTGGTGTAAGAGTGACTCTCGTGTGTAGTGGTGGTTGGAGCCTTGTCTGAAGCCCTGGGAGATGTTTCTGTCCCCTTTTAAGGGTCGTGGGGCTGGGTGGTGTGAAGTAACAGAACACAAACCTACTCTCAGCAAAATCCCAGCTGAGTGGTCCGTTCTCCTCTGCCTGGTCCGTGCTCTTTGTTCACCTGGGGATGGTGGAGGAGCCTTTCAGCCCTGAGAGGCTGGAGCTGGTTGTGGTGTTCTTGGCATTGACTATTTTGATGGATCCTCCTGATGAGGGTACAACAAAAGCAACCATACACAGAGCAATTCCTCTCAAGTTGAGTTTGTGCTTTGGATGCAAGAATAAACTCTGGGTTTTGAGGTGGCAAGATGTTAAATGGAACAGTGGGAGCTTGGGTGGTGGTTCTTGCTTTGTCTGAGGGGGCTTGAGTTTTGAACTGTCCCTGCCTCTCGAAATCCCCCCCATTCATCTTTTAACTGAATGAGCACCCACAATCCAGAGTCAGCAAATTTGCGTTGTTTCTGACAATATCCACCGTGTCGGGAGCATCTGGCCCAGAACCAGAAGGTGCAGGTTCCTGAACTGGGGCTGTCCAAGTCTTCAGGGGCTTCTTGGGATTTGACCAGGGCTCAGGTACTGTGAGACCTGCTGGAGAAGTCTGAGAGGGGTGGAAGAATCCTAGCCCTATGGCTCTGATGGAGCTTCTGTGTTCTTGCACAGCCCATTTAACGTGAGTCCATGGCAACTTGACTGAATCTTGGTAGAGTTAAATTATTTTTAGAGGGGCTTCCTGTAACTGAATGATGGTGTTCTTCGACCTGGAAGTTCGCAGGTTATTGCTGCCAGTGACTTTCCAAAACCACCTTATTTAAAAATAATAATCATTGTTACAATGAAAGTTCAGGTGTGATTCAGACCAAAGACTGAGTTCAGCAAGTTTTGGGGTATCCAGACAAACCTAAACCGTGGAGCACGTGGGGCCTCTGGCTACAGAAAATGGCATCAGGCACAGGGGGTGCGGTGCTGGGGTCTGTGTGGAGTAAGTTGTTTTTTTTTTAACCAATACATTTTGTAGTTTGGGAGCTCTCAGGGGAATGGGGCAGAGTTGGGGAGCAGCTGCGGTGGGTGTGGGGGAAGCGTGAATGATGTGGGGAGTGCTGTGAGCAGAGGTGGTGCTGGGGTCTGTGTGGAGTAAGTTTTCTTTTTAACCAATACATTTTGTAGTTTGGGAGCTCTCAGGGGAATGGGGCAGAGTTGGGGAGCAGCTGCGGTGGGTGTGGGGGAAGCGTGAATGATGTGGGGAGTGCTGTGAGCAGAGGGGCTCCTCCGTCACCTCGGGTACCGACGGGGTGAGATGAGTTCCTGGGACTTGGCTGAGACACGTGGGCGCTGCGCAGGGAAACTGCATCGCTCCAGCAGGACTTGAGGGATGAGGGGGAAGAAGGTTTTCTTTGTATTTATTCTTTGTTCCTGTGGAGTCTATTTCCGTAGCTGAAACGCTGTGCTCTGGGGACAGCCGTGCCTCCGCAGCAGATCTGGCTGTTCCTGAGGAGGAAGGGTGGGTCGCTTGGCTGGGGTTGTTGTAAGGACATTACTGATGTGAGACTCGTGCTCCTGCCCTCCACGGGAGGGAGTTTAACCCCTAGGAACTCGCCTTATGTTTTTCCTAGAAGGTCACAGGCTGCCTCTTAAAAATGTCTTGCATACGTAACACTTGGCTTGTGCACAGTACAACTGAGGGGGAACCAAAGGATGCTCCTTCGTCCCCAGCTGCTCAGTCTTGTTCAGAAGCTGCTGGAACATGGTGTGTGGTTGGTGTGTGTGTGGTTGGTGCGTTGAACACCTGCCCCACCTCACTTTGCTCAGAGTGAATGGCTGTACGACTGTGGCACAACTAGAACATCAAATCCCTGATCTTCTGGATCCGAAGACCTGCTCCCAGTGCTGCTGCTGTGCAGTGCTTTTGGGCAGAAACGCTGAATTCTGCTGCCCAGGTCGTTGCCCGGTGACATGGTGACGGTGATGCTGGCCTTTGCCTCGGTCCCTCCTCCCTGAGAGCGCTGGCTGGGGGTGCTTCTCTGGTGGCGGTAACGGTATTGCTTCTAGGAATTGGGATACAAGGAAACAACTTCACTGTTTCAAGAATGAAGGAATGAGAAGTGTTTTGACCCTTTTTAAATGCCAAACTAATAACCTTGCATAGTAGTAATTGTGTTCTCTGTTACCACGTGTTGAGACTTTCCTGACACTGGGTTTGTGAAATCAGAGTTATTCAGTGGGAGAGCAGCTTTAGACTCTGGGAGTGCCTCTGTCTGCCCCGATGGCCTTGTTTTGGGCTCTGCTCCAGGAATGAGATCATCATCTTGGTGACAGCCCCCTGTAACAGGGAGAGTTAAAGCTTTTCCAGCTTTCCTGACAGTTACTTCAGTACTTTGCCACTTTGGTGCACTGGTTTTCCTAAAAGATGTGGGAACTGTGTGTGTCAGTGCTGTAACGTGGGGTAAAGGGTCTTGTGTTCAGGTTGCTCTCTGAATACCCACAGGGTGTGTTCCTGGGGTACCCAGGGATGTTTTTATTATGAAGGTCCTCCCTGCAGAGAGGGAGCCTGAGTATAGTTTAGGAATTGTTTCTTTAGTACATGTATCTCACCCTGGAATTACAATAATACACAAATGTTGTGCAGGGGTAGGGAGAAACCTTATCTATGAGCTCAAGCTTCTCTAAAGATGTTATGCTGTAAAGCTTGCAGTTGTTCGGAGTGTGTGTGTTAAAACCTGAGCATTCATTGAAAATGTAAGGGATGCTTCCCTGTGAAGTAACACACAGATCCCAGGAGTCTGAAGGAGGAGGGGACCAGAGGCAGCTGCCCCTTGACGGTGTCCCTCTTGGCTTGGGCAGATGTTAGAAACGCTGCCTCTGAGGAAGAGGCATCTCTTTTTGCACCGGGGGTTGTGGGTACTTTGTGTGTTGATTCACACAAACCATCTGCCTGTATCTTTTCAGGCACAGAGTGCCCCTGGCGTGAATAGGAGCTGGGTCATCACAGAGAAGGGACAGGGCTCCAAACAAAAAGGTGCTTTCTTAGTTTGATGAGATTTGTTCTTAACTCTTGTGCTGTCCCCAGCCCAAGGAGTGACCCTTTCTCTCCTTTCCTGTAACACAACAGACCTGCCTTCCCTTGTGCAGTGGTCCCTCGAGCGCTTCATTCTCGCTGGTCTCTGATCCCTGACCTGCTGAAGCTTCCATCGGCACTGGCCAACTTGAGTCCTCCATCATCCTGGAGGTGATGCAGCATGAGCCTCCCAAATGATCCCCTCCAGAGCCTGTAGCTAAGGCTGTTCATGGGGCTGCACTGACCCCCTCTCGCCAGCTCTAACCTGACCTGTACACAAAGGAGTTTGGGGTTTTTTTGGTTCGATTGCACATTTCAGTGTCTACCTGTAGCTCAGACCTTTTTTAACATACAAGACTAGCAACCATGAGAGGAGATGTCAAAGCCACTGTCTAGTTAGACACCCACCCAGATGTCAGCTAGAGGAAAACGCTGGTGTGATGTTGTCTGCCTTGTTGTAGTGGTGCTGCTACAGCTCTGCCTGGGACTGTCCCCTTGCTTTCTGTGAACAGAACCAAACAGGGAACCCAAGAACAGGGGAAAGAAAAGGTGCCCGAGAGAGTTACTGTGGCTGGTGCCTGGAAACCAGGTCTTCCTCCTTCAACGTGAGAACACTAGGGCATGGCAGTGTCCGTGATGCTCCTCTCTTCTCAGTAAATCCACACCTGTCTCGGGTAACCCGCTGTGGTGTCATACTGCTGGGCCCTTTTCTGGTGTTTCCAAATGATCGGGGCCCCCCCTCCCCCTCTGGCTGTATTGCCCAGCACCTCTGAGCAAAACCACCTCCTCACTGAAGGCTGGAAGCTCCTACCTAAGTTCCTACCTAAGCATCACTTCATTTTTCCCTCCCAGAGTAATTCATAACTCCTGTGTGTCCCTTAGCAAGGGAGAAAACTGCTTCCAATGTGTTTGGTGCTTGTGATGGGCAGAGAGAGCAAGAAAGCATTGGAAAGAGTAATTTTTTTTGACATCAGAGCATTCTGCCTATCATACCGTGCTTCTCTCAGCCTGCAGGCATGCTGCTCCTGGCCTGAGCAAGTGGGCTTATACCCTGTCTCCCCTTCTCTTAAGTGTCATCACTTACACCAACATAGACACTAATGCAAGTAACTCTTGGAAAAGAAAATTCCCAGCAGATGACTTGTTTGTGCTGTTCTTGTGAGAAGTGGGTCATTGGTTTGCTCTGGCGTAATGTTCACTGTGATAAATGCCTTTTTCCTTCCCTGGTTTTCCTGGACGCCGCGTTTCAGTGAGGGCTGGGTAATCCAGGGGCATTTGCGTGATGTGGCGATGGGTCTTGCTCTGCTTCAGCCTGTATTCCCAAAACCTCCCAATAATCCCTGGTAAATACGTAACCAGCCTGGAAGAAACCACCACCGTAGTCGTACTGGTCCTGTAATCTGAGATTAGCATCTAAGGTTAAACCATTGCTGACAACATAGGCTTCAGGAAAGATAGATAGTATTTTTGTAGAGTAACTTATAAAATGTTCACATATCTACACTGTCTTTATTTAGCAGTGTAATGTATCGAAGTGAATAGTTTCCCAATAAATACCGATTTTGATGCCTAATGAATGACTGCTGTGTCTTTAATTGTGAGAAGTGACTGGGAATGGGTTAACTCACCAACATCTGCAGCCTTGATGGAGAACGGGTGTGCAAATGGGCACGGTCACCCCGGGCAGAGTCTGGATGCCACGGGGTTGTGTTGTCGCAGGGGGGGTTGGTTAGTCCATCGCTCGGTGGGTACCAAACCACCTCCTTACCCTCCTTCTTCCTGCAGTTCATACTGCTTGGTTTTTATGTGCCTTTTTTCCTATCCTCTTGCTAACACGAGTCCAATGACATACTCCTAAGCTGCCAATAGCTCTTTGAAGGTAAGAGATCTTCTGTTCTGTCTGTGTGAGTTGTAAGGCAAAACCAACCCTATCTTGGGCTCTTGTAACTGGAGAGGAGCAGGACAGCATCCTCTCCTCACACTGTCTTGTTACACTAACACAGAAGCAAGCCAGACTGTTATAATTTTGTTGGAACTTTGATTTGAAATCATGGTATGGATTTTTAAAAATCATTTGTCTTGCAGTGGTTTAAAATAATGCTTCTGTACTTGCCAGGATTCATTAAAAGCTGGGCTGACCTTCATTCTTTGAAACACGTATGTTATTGTAGCAGATTGTAGGGCATCCCTGGGTGTTTTACCTTCCCGAGTGTAATTCCACGTACCCGTGGGGTGGCTCTCGGAGGCTGTGCCGAGCTCTCTCTCTGCTGTAGGGCAGTCAGCAAGCAACATGCAGAATGCAATGGCAAGGCCTTTCTGCTTGCTGGAGCCTCACTCCAGGCAGCAGCGTTACCAAGAGAAAACCCTTCCCATGGTGTCGTGGTGGTGGGTGGCAGAGGAAACCTTGTGGAATGGTGCTGAGAGAGTGCTGGGTGTGCCCATTCGTGTGTCAAACATCTTCCATCTCTTTCTCAGAACTGGTACTTGTGGTGTCCCCGAGCTGTGAGGCAGTGCCAAGTTGTGTGTCAGTTCATGTGCTGTAAATACTCCCCTGGCATTTTTATTTTCTTTTATTTGCCCTCCCTCTCCTTCCCATTTTCCATGCGTGATGGTGGTTTATATCTGAACAGCATGATGTTTCTTGTGTAATAAGTACCTTTCATTCTTATTATGACTAAGGAGCTGGAGCTTCTGGAGTAACACTCTTCTCTTGTATTTTTAGGTCTGCAGAGGGACCCCTCCCTTTTCCCAGCTGTAGCTCTTGAACTCCCTAAAGGACCTTCTGGCAATGATGGACTTGCTTTGTACAAAGGTCAGCCTGAGATACTGAAAACGCAGCAGAATTCGGAGTCAGACTACTTAACGAGAGATGGGCCTTCAAGCAACAGCTCCTTCTACAGCAGTGAAGGAGAGGGGACAGACCACGAAGGAGATATTTTGGATTGCAGCGGGTCCAGGCCTTTGCTGATGGATTCGGAAGAGGAGGAGGAGACCTGCAAGTTGTACACGGGGATCCTGCAGTCTGCACCCAGGGAAAGACGTGAGGCCTCCAAAGAAGATCCCCACTCCCAGTCTTCCCAGGGTAGAGCAGGGGAGACGCTGTTCCCTGCTTTCCAGTCACACACCGGGGAGGTTTTTAATGAACCAGATGTTTTTGCCACGGCTCCTTTCCGAAGCTTGAGAAAAGTGCCTGATGAGGTGGATGTCTTTACCAAAGCTCCTTTTATCTCCAAGGGCAGTGTGGCTCACAGACATCCAGAAGAAGCAGATGTATTTCTGAGAGCCCCTTTCACTAAAAAGAAAAGCATGGAAGAGTTGACTTCCCATAGTGTATCTAAGGAACCATTCACACCACCCATTTTCCTAAGTCAAGGAAGCGATGTCCAGCACAGAGCGAACCCGATGTTCCCAACTCTGGATTCAGCAGTCCATGGGTCCACGGCTTTGGCGAAATCTCAGTATCCTTCTGCCGCGTTTTCTCAGCCAAGCAATATTCATCCCTCCTCCATGAGAGCCATGGAGACCCAGGAGAACATCCCTTCTAAGGGTGTGCTGCCAGAGCAGGCTGGTGTTGCCGGTGAGAGAAGCCAAGGAGGACACGCGCTGCCCCAGGAAGCGGTGCTGGGCTCCGTCGTTAACCAGCCTTTCCGTCCGCAGTCCTTATCCAAATATTCCCGTCACTACAGCCCAGAAGATGGGCAGGGTCTCGAAGCCAAGCCCATAGCTGCTTACAAAGTGGTTTCTCAGACCAACAGACAGGCGATAGCAGGCTCTGTCTCTGTTGCCCCTCTGTCTTCCAGGACTACAGAGCTGCCCGGCGCGGATCCCTTTGCCTCAGCGCCCTTCCCTTCCAAAGCGGGGAAGCAAAAGCCTTAATCTGCTGTGAGCTGGGAGGTGTGCTTCCTCTCCTGGGACCTTGAACCTCTTAGTTGAAATGAATGACATAGCAATATATATATAAAAAAAAATAATTATTATTTTTTGGTCAGAACTCTATTTGCAGTGATATATAGTTGAACCATTTTAAGTTATGTTAGTTAGTCTGAATGCCTGGCTCTCAGGATCTTCATATCCTTTTCAGTTGCTTCTTACCTTCCTCCTCTCACTGTCTTCCCCTCCCCCAACCCCCCATTTATTTTTTACATGCTTTTCCAAACCAGTAATATTCCATATTTTCTGATCCTGGCTGGGGAAATGCATTATAAGATGAATTAAAAGGTTTATTAATTACAGAGCAAGTCAAGCGGGACTTGCTAGTGCTCTGGAAAGGAAGTGGTTTCACAGGTTAAAGGGTTATTGCGATTTCTTTCCTATCAGCAGGGGCTTGGGGAAGAGAGCAGTGTTCCTGCTGCTTGGCAGTGATGGCAAACCTGGCAGCCGAGGCTCCGGGGCGGTTCTGGTGCTGTGTGGTCGGGGTGAGAGCCAGGTTTGTGCAGCGCTGATGTGAGCAGAGCTGTGGCATCGCACGTGCGGCGTCTCTGTGCTCACTGTGGTGTGTGACACGTGGAGGTGGCTCTGCCCCGGGGCTGTGCTGGAGCCTGGAGGGGCCGGTGAAAGGACCTCAGTCACTTGTAAACTCTCAGATGCGTGAGCTTCAGCAAAGCCCTCTGTCAGGCTGTTGGTATTGCTGTTTGGAAAAATGGAATAATCAGGCAAAGCTTTCAGTTTTCCATCCGTGTTTCCTGTCCGGTTTATGCCAAAGTGTAGGACCCAGAAATTTGCTTGTGGTGTTGTCAAGGAGAGAGACGCTCTTTTTTACAGTATTAAAAATACGCCTTATGGAAAAGTTTATTATGCAAACAACTTAATAGATGTTCTGGTCTGTGTATGTCATTTGGTGTAACGCAGCATTGGCTGAAGTCCGGTTAGACTGATTTATACTGGCAGAGAATTTGACTCTATATTTGTAAATTCTATTTTCTTACTGATTAAGGATAAACCTAAACAAAAATCCAGTCACATTTGTTCAGCTTCAAAAATACTGTGTTTTCTACCCAATTCCCAAACAGACAATTTCTTATCGCTTGTTCAGTCATTGAAGCAGTGAATCCCAGTATAGTGTTTGGAGAAAGAGTCTCCCAGGCTGGCAACTGGGCAGAAACAAAGCAGACTTTGTTCCCCTCTCTTTTTGCTAATATAAGACAGAGATAAGGATGAAACCTCACATCTTGATTTTGTAAAATGCCTGGTTGTGTGAGTTGTCCTGGATCTGCTATTTCTGGCCGGCAAAGGCTACTTGTAAGTGTGGCTTTTGAAATACCCGGTTACAGGGACTCCCAGTCACGGATGCAGCGACCCTTCCTCCTGACAGCTGCTGCTGCTGCAGGCTGTCTCCCAAGAAAAAAAAAATTAGTGGCTTTATTTTTAAGGACTTGACATCTATGGAAAAAATCCCCATTGACTCCACCTGCCAAGTCTGAAAAGCCTTGTGGTGGCCATTTCCCTCGGGGGTTTGTTCATTATTGTGTCAGCTGGAGCGTCGCGCTGAGGGTAAAGGACATGTTTTGCCTTTGGGGGTGTTCCACGAGGGGCTTTGAGGTCTTTGGGCAGGTTGCCCAAGGGGGAAGTGTTGGAGCAAGGGGCAGGTTGCTGAGATCAGGACTGGTGGGATGTAGAGCACGTTCCTGCCCTGTCTGTTTTCTGAGGGGTTTGTGCTGGGAGAGAAAGTCCCACAAGTTTGGTCGCTCTGAGAGAGGGCTGGACCAGCCATAACTCCCCTGGACTCCCTGGAGCCACAGCTGGGAGAGCTGCTGCAGCCGAAAACACACTTCAGTCTAGTTTTGGGGCAGAAAAAGCTCACACCACCTCCAGTACCTAGCTTTTTCTGGTGTCCAAATAATAAGCATTAAAGGAATGCAACAGGCATATTAAAGATACATGTGAAGACTTCTTCAACAAAGCCAGACTCTGTCTCGCTGGTGACTTTTAAGCCCAGCAGCATAAAGGGAGGGAGGATGGAAAAGCCGTGGGTGCTGGGAGCTGACTGCCCACACACCTCACACAGGAGTTGCTGCCTGCTCTGCCTCTCCCCTCCTGGAATTCACTTCCCCTCCAAAATATCCCCAGTTGCATGAGATGAGCCAAAAGTTCTGCTGGCCGTGCTCGGCCTGGGGATTGCCTGGGAGGGAGAAGCTTGGACTGAGGTCTTAAAGCCCTGGGGATGGAGAATTCTGGAAAGCAGGGAGGCCACGTTGGCTTGCACAGCCCAGGTCAGGTCGGGTGGTGTGGAGCTGGGCACCTTAACACTCAGAGCTGAGTAATACTGGTGCATACTGGTGCGTTAGGGTTTGGTTTTTTCCCTCCATCTCACCACCATCTTGAAAACAGAAGTACTGTAAAGAAATTGCTGGGTTTTCCTTGAGACGTTTCATCATCCGAGCTGGGGCTGTTGTTTATTGTCTTCCGTTGTCGTTGAGTTTTTTGTTTAAATATATACCCGAAAGGTGGTGGTTGTTTTTGTTTTAAATCTATACCCCCTCCACTGCCCCAAGTCGGTTGTTGCTGGGTGGGATCGGTGAGAGATGCTGAGAACATCGACAGCAAACTGTGAATTCAAGGGATGCCGAGGAGAGCGAGGGCCCAGGTTTGTTCCAACAGGCAGCCTGTGCTGTGGCCACACTGTGCCCCTGGGAGCTGGGATTCACCTCGAGTTGGTCAATTCTCAAGCTCAGGAAGCTGCTGGAGGGGAGGTCAGGCCTTGGTGGTGCAGGGATGAACCTGTGGACCAGGGAGATGCTTTGCTGGAGCAAGCAGGATAAATAAGATGTGAGTTCGAGGCATTACCTCTGCTAACTGGATTCAGGTTCTCCTTCCATGCCTGAATTTTTACTTGAAAAATTGTTTTTGGATAATTCTGTGAAACTTCTTTTGATGCCACATCCAGGTCTCACTTGGCTGATGCTGGAGAAGCGTTAACGTGTTCCCCATCACGCTTGGAGCGGAGGCTCCTGCGTGTGTGTTGGTGCTGGTGAGATGGGGATGGCCAGACCCATGCACCATCGGCCCAGGGAGAAAGGGAAAGCTCTCCGAGGTGCAGCGAGGCGTGGGGGCTCCCTTACAGCCCTCAGTTGGGTCAGGTCAGGCTGAATTTCCAGCTAGTGTTTTGGCAGCTCTTATGTTCTTCAAGCACTTTACACACAGAGCAAGCTAACCCTGCCCCAGAAGCTGAGGGTCCTGCCAGCACACACCCAGCGCTTCCGTGGTTTTAAATCTCCTCTGGGGGACGGAGGCGGCTTGTTTGTATCTCTGCCTGTGACCTATAGAGTCGTGGGTCTTTTGGTTACGGTCAGAAAAGTGAATTTCAATGCCTGTTAGTCTGATATCCTTCTCATTTCCAGCCCATATTCCTCCTAATCCTGCACTGCCACTGCTGCAGCTTCAGCCTGATGAATTGCAAGTGGGAATTCCATTTCCGTAGCCTCTGAAGCTTACTGGTTTTAATGAATGTGGAAGAATAATGCTAATTGTTTTCTTTGCCACACAACCAGTGATGTTAATGAAGTAAGACTGGTATGGCCTCAATGCAGCATTTTGTTTTCTGAGCAGAGCTGCTGGTTTCATCTTTTTTTAAAGCTGTAGTAAATTCTCTGACCTGCCCTGGCTCCTCGCGCGTGGCCGGAGGCTGCAGTTTTCACTGGGACAATCTGAGAGTCATGCTGGGAAAGGGACTGGTCCTTATCCACTGCCAGCTTCAGTGTGAACGCACTTAAAGTCTGTCTTCAAAGTGATTTAATCAGAGTTTCTGCATGCAAAAAAAACCCCAACCAACCAAACCAACCCAGCTGGCTTGGCTTTCTGTGCCTCCCTGCCCCGACGTTTGTACAGCGCATGTAACGGGACCAGCCGCCGTGGTGTTAACCTGCACTTTCCGCAGCCCGCTGCAGTATTTTTGGGACTTTCCCCGTATTTCCTCTCCCTTCCAGCCAGCTCAGCACTAGTCACACGTGGCGTTAAGTTTACAGTCTTAGTCTCTTGAAGCCAGCGCACACTCGATCTGTAATGCACACTATGCATGGAGCACGTAAGTGATATTACGCTCGTAACAGCAAACCCCTGTAACAATCATGACAGCACCTGAAGCACGTCTTCAGCGGGACTTCAGCAAGACCGAGCAAGATCTGTTTAATCGCTGAACTCTCAATCACTCCAAAGTGGTAATCGGTTACTTTAACTCAGCTTCCACCAAAGACTCTTGTGTTGGGGAGTTGAATTTTTTGTGGCTTTTTTTTTTTTCCCCCTCATGGTGTTAAATCAAGGCCTTTCAGTACACCGAGAGACTCCAAAGCATTTTTACAGTAGTATCTTGACAGTGAAATCTTGTTCCAGTTCGGAAACACATTCCTGAGACCTGATCAGCTGTGTTAGTCTTTCTGAAAATAAGCCCCGGCCTGTAGTTTCCATTGTAGGTAGGGTAAATACTGTCACACACACCTAGAAATTCTCTCCTGTGAAGTTAGAGGGATAATGGTGATCCACTGTTCCCCAATCCTTCCTCTCCAAAGGGAGAAATGCTCCAGGGGGTGGGGAGGGCAGGGTGCACATTCGGGGCCGGGGGCTCCCATGTAGGATGCAGCTGGCAGAGCATCACTACACGCGAGTCCAGCAGGGAAAGAAACTCCCTCGTTTCTGCGTGGAGCGGGAAGCCAGACCTGGAAGTGTCCGTGGTCTCCACTAACTGTGACAAACAATCTGTGACTCGTGTCCCAAGAGCAGTGTTCCGTTGGCACTGCGCTGTTGTTGCGGGCTCGGAAGTACCTCTGACTTGTAGATCTGATGGAGTCAAGTTCTGCACTCCAGGTGTGATCATCTGTGTTAATCATTATGAAGAAATGTTCGAGTTGTAAACTTATGTACATTTTATTAAAACTGTATCTGATTACAATACATCTTCTCTGCTGTGCATTTCTTTCTCCCCTGCCCACGCAAAATATTTTTGCTGGATGCAAAGAATCTGGTTTTTAATGAGTTCTTCCTACCAAGGTACTGAACTTGCTCTGTCCCTGTTTTGTCTGGCAGTTGTAAAGTCAAACTGATCTCGCTGCTTTCAGCAGAGGCTTTAAGCAGTAGATTCCAGTTTACTGGAGAGAAACCTTCATGCCTGGGACGATGCTACAAGACAGTGGGGTGCTATGGACCCCCCCCTGCAAACCCCGGAGCTGCTGCTGCTGGAGAGGAGGTGCAGAATGAAACTTGTCCCCAGAAAGGGTCTGCCCTACATGAGCAAAATGGTCTGTGACCACTCGCTGCCCAGACGAGCTGTACACGTGTCGGGGGGACGCAGCGGTCTCCAAGAATAGGTTTTGGCACAGCCCAGTGAAAACGTGCTTTCTGTGAGCACAGCTGCCTGCCAAGGTACAGCCAATCCAGCGAGGAAGGGATGGAAGGATGTTTAAAGAATTTGGTTGGATTTTTAGGTTGTATGAGTTAATTGTAAGAGAGTAATTGCTAGGGTAATCCCAAACACAAATCCAGGCTGGGCAGAGAATGGCTGGAGAGCAGCCCTGAGGAGAAGGACTTGAGGGTGTTGGTGGGTGAGAAGCTCAACATGAGCTGGCACCAAGCTCTGGCAGCCCAGAAACCCCCCACACCCTGGGCTGCATCCCCAGCAGCGTGGCCAGCAGGGCCAGGGGGGGATTCTGCCCCTCTGCTCTGCTCTGCTCTGGGGAGACCCCACCTGGAGCACTGCGTCCAGCTCCGGAGTCCTCAGCACAGGAAGGACATGGACCTGTTGGAGCGGGGCCAGAGGAGGCCCCGGAGATGATCAGAGGCTGGAGCCCCTCTGCTGGGAGGGGGGGCTGAGAGAGTTGGGGGGTTCAGCCTGGAGAAGAGAAGGGTCCGGGGAGACCTTGGAGTCCCTTCCAGTCCCTCAAGGGGCTCCAGGAGAGATGGGGAGGGACCCTTGATCAGGGAGGGGAGCCCTAGGAGGAGGGGGAAGGGTTTGACCCTGAAAGAGGGGAGATGGAGCTGAGATGTGGGGAAGAACTTGTTTGGTGTGAGGGTGGTGAGAGCCTGGCCCAGGTTGCCCAGGGAAGCTGTGGCTGCCCCATCCCTGGAGGGGTTCAAGGGCAGGTTGGAGGGGGCTTGGAGCAACCTGGTCTGGTGGGAGGTGTCCCTGCCCAGGGCAGGGGGTGGCACTGGATGAGCTTTAAAGTCCCTTCCAATATGAATCATTTTGTGATTCTCTGAATAAACAGGTATGATTGGCCTAAGTGACTTTCTGGTCCAAAACTGGCAGGACTATAATCTAAGGAGGGAAAAGGCAGCTGTGGGCCAGCCATGAACCACAATTCTTCATCCTGAAGTTGCAAACTTGTCTCCTTCCTCCCCAGGGTGACTCTTCCTCCTCTTGTTCCTCGTACAACAGCCCTGAGTGTCGGCTGCTATCTGCAAAATCAAGAGCTTCCACCTCAAAGGAATTGTGCTCGAAACCCATCACCTCTAACCTCCTCCGCAGCCCCCATCTCTGGAAAGTTACTGGGCTAAATTCGCAGTTTCTGATGGCTTATGACACTTGGAGGGGGGGGAAAGAAGAGAGTCAGAACAGGGTTAACTGAAAAGTAAAATTACTGAAAAGCAAATTGGTTATGTTTCAGCACAATACAGGAAAATGTGTTTCTGAGGGAGCTGTTTCTTGAGCCCTACCTGTGGTAACCAGAGGGTGATAGAGCGACGCCAGCAGCCGGGGCACGGACAGTGGGGCCTTATCGCCCTAGAACGTGCTGCGATGGTGAGAAAAAAAAAAAAAAAAAGGCCGGGGCGGGATCGGGGCGGCCCTGAGGAGCGCCAAGATGGCGGCCGCGCGGTGGCTCGGGGCGGCTGCGGGGCTGGGCGGCCGGTAGGTGACCGCGGGGCTCCCTCGGCCCCTCGCTGCCTCCGGCCCCGAGGCGGGGGAGCCCGGATTTTTCCCGGAGGGGTCCTCCTCTCGCCCTTTCCCCACGCGGCTGAGGGGGGAGGAGGGGGCGGCCGTGTCGCAGCGAGGGGCACCGCGACCTGCCGGGCCGCGGCGGAGCCTTCTGCGCCCTTCCCGCTTCCTTCCCCGCAGCAACAGGGCGGACGAGGGTGGAGTTGTTTCTTCCTTCTCTTCCTTACGGACGGGCAGCGGGAGGCTGCTTCTTCCCCCAACTCTTAATACAACAGCGAGGCGTTAATTGCCCCCGACGCGCCGGTCTGAGGGCCTTCCGCTGAGGGAGTGTTGGCGCAGGGGGGTGTGAGTCGTGAGGGGGGATTCCCCCCGGCATGGGGGGCTCAGGGCAGTGCAGCGGGGGGTAATTCCCTCCCACAGGTGCCCAGGATCATTCCATGAGGGGCAATTCCCCCTCCACGTGCTCGGGATCGTGCAACAAGGAGTAATTTCCCCCCAAAACCCACGGGCACAGGGTCACGCAGTGAGGGCAGTGAACTGCCCCCCCCCCCCCCCCCCGAAGCAATAAGGGGGAATTCTCCCACCCTGGTTGCTAAAAGCTATGCAATAAGGGGAAATTCAAAGGACTGCGTGGTGGACTAAAAAATGGACTATTATCGTTATTCTCCAAAGCTAAAGACCGAGGAGAACTTTTCTCTTGGAGGACCTTGCTCCCGCACCCTGTTGTGGGTTCTGTAGCTGCTGTCAACACTAAAAAATAAGCAAATAACCCGAGTGAGACCTTGTATGTCCCTCTCTTGCAGTGGGGAAGGCTGTTTTGTTTTGCCCTGTTCCTGTGTTTTGAGGAATCTGGGCCCTGTGTGGTGTTTCCTCTGAGTTACACCCGCCCCAAGAGAACCAGCCCCTCTCTCAGTAAGAGCCCCTGCAGATATAATTTATTTGGTTTATCTGCTTTTGCTCCTCTGATAAGGAGGAGGGAAACCAGAGAGTGACGAATCTCTGTAATATTTATTTGTGCTGTGACAGGAGGAGGGTTTTGGTTACATTCTCTGATTTTCACTTTGGAATCCCTGGCTGTGCATACAGCTACGGAAATCAGATGTGCAAGCGAGTATTTACACTTTTGAAAGTTAGGCTTGTTACTCCGTCACTCTGCCTTGCTTATTCTATCAAAGTTTTTTTTTTTCTTGTTTCCCCTCTGCTCTCCCCCCTCTTAACTTCATTTGAGCAGGTGACACCACCCCTGTTCCAATTGCTAGTGCGAGTTATGTGGCCAGTATGGGGCAGGGTCTCTTTTTAACTGGTTTGGTTTAATTCTGGAACAGTACTTGCATGGGAATATACTGAGTTTATTTATTCCCCAACGGCAAAAAATACAGAGGGGTGGGCAGGAGTGAGGGGTGGCTTGGTACATACAGCTAATAGAGTTTTTATCTTTTATCCAGATGTTATCCTGGTATTTTTTTCTTCTGAGGATTGTTTAAGAGTAGCTATTGCATTACCTTCTTAGCCTGTCTTGTATCTCCTAAGAGTCTTACAGGAGAGCCTTACCTTTGAGCAGGTAAACCCACAGAGTAGAGGAGTAAATTCTGGCCATGATTTGGCCTCAGGTGCTTGGGATTGGATTCATCACAGCTGGCTGCTTCTGAAAATCAGGTATTTAGTCCAAGCTAGTTTCCTAGGTGCCACTGTCCAAGGCAAGACAAAAGGCTCCCTTCGGGTGATTTATCCTCTTCTAGGTAAATAAGAGGATTAGCCTGTCTTTAGTGACCTTGAAGGAGTCTGGATTAATTTTGTAGGTGGCAAAAATTGGAGAGTTATGTCTGGTTTTTTATGAAATGGGAGAGAGGGAGCACCAGGAAGGGGAAAAAATGTGGGAGGTTTTGTGATACAGCCTGGGAGCTTGCTGTGTTACCAGAGAGGTTTGAGGCAAGTGAGTGTCTTGCTGAGTTTGGGGTCACTAGAAGCATGTGAAATATTCTTTCCGTGGGGTAGTGCAAACTTGTAATTTGGAAATTGTTAGTAAAATTATTTTTCTCTAGGTTCTGCCGTACGATGTTAAAAGATCATAATTTGACAACTCAACAGTCTTTCCATCAACTTGTGCCAAAGAAATCATTTCTTCCATCTGCAGTATGGCATAATGCAGGTAAGTACTGGTTAAAAATTAATAGATGAGTGCATTATGAGTTTTTATGTCTTTTGGTAATAAAGTCTAATCTGAGTGTGGTAGCATTTCTGGGGTGGTTTTTAATGAAGTGCTTGGACATTTGGAGCTTGGGGAGAAGATGTGGATGGCTCACTATGTGCTTGATGATACATGTTTTGTCTGTGTCATTCAGCTGCCAAGACTTATAAGGGGCTTTGTTGGTGTGAAATAGTATTTGGGTTTTCTGCATTTCTTAATTTTATTTCTGTCTTAGTGTAAATGTATCCTTTGTGAAAGATTTTGTTTTGCCTTCTGTCTTGCTTTAGCTCCTGAGCTCTGCCAGATAAAATTGCTAACCATCCAGATGGAACCTAGCAAGGATGAAAGCAAAGCCTTTCATTCTTAAAGCTGCAATATTTTCTTTTTTTAATTTTCCCCCTTTTGAACACGCATCAATGTATAGTGCATCAGTGACATTCTCCATTAATACTATCTGCAACTTGATATTACCCTGAAAAAGCAGTGTTTTAAGATTGAGTTTGTTGCACCTACCATTTTTTGGTAGTCTGTAATGCTCAGAAAAGAAAAAAATAAATCTGTGAAACTTGCTCTACAGAAAAACATTGTGATTTTGCACCTGCCTGAGGGATTTAGCAACTGCTTTCCAACGCTGTAGCAGAAAGGGACTAAGGCAAAAAAAATGTGCAGGTGCTGTTGCATGGAATTAGTCACAAATGGAAATCTTATTTAAATGAGTCTGCTCAGGCAGAAGTTGCTTTTTAATTTTGATTTCAGAGAAGTCCAGTCTTATCTGGACTGTTTTTCCTGTTTCAGTTCAAATCAACAGGCAGGCTCTTACCAGTCGACTTAGTATTTTTATCTGCTTCTGCAAGTGTCCTGCCAAAGTGGGCCTCTGTTTGGTGTCTTCTTCTTACCCTGGCAGATGGCAGAGCAGAGTGTGCAGGTCCTTCCTCAGAGGCTTGAAAGAACCCATGTCTGTGTTTGATGTGAATACAGCCAGTTACCAACTACTGAATAATAAATTCCAAATGGGTTTTTCCACAACTGTGCAAAGAACTCTCCGGGTTGATTAATGATTGAAAAACTTGCTCTTAGGAAGGCACATCTTCCAACTGCAGAAGGCAGTTTTTGAAGTACAGTAGGTACCCACATGGGCACCTTTTCTGGGAGCTGATACAGCCCTTTGTGTTCTAGGGTGTTAGAGGTGCTAAGTGAGCAACGTGTGAGAGCTGGTAGTAACCCATTGCTTTCAAAAAATTGGCAGAGTGCACTCAATTTACACCATCCAGATCCCCTGATGGTTATTTGTTAACTACACCGTTACACTGGATGGGATTTTGGATGCCACCTGGATCTTCTTCCATCCCCGTGGATAAAGCTGACTGGTTGCTGCTCTGTCGGGATTATTATTGTTACGTTAAGACTAAGTACTTCTGTGGGAAGTCTTTTTTCCTTTAAAAAAAACAAGAAAAAAGAAAATAAAATGCGGTATGTGCATACTTTGCCATTGTGGATATTCAAGTCAAATGGGTTGTTGCAGTGAGAGATACAAGCAGTTACAATTTGACAATTTATAAATAGGGTGATTTGCCATCTAATACTAGGGAGTCCAGGGAAAATGGGCAGTTTGGGAAAATGAAAATGTCAGCTCCTTTTTGCTGCTTTAACTCCTCCTATTGCTTATGTTTTGAAGTTATGTGAGCTTGTTTCTCAAGTATAATTTATTTATAAATATTAGTTCCTAGAGATTTTTGGTTTTAAAATGCTTTTTTTTTTTTCCCTGAATGTTTTTATGTCATTGTGTTATTTGGTGTGCGGGGAGGGTTAGAAAGAAGGAGAACTAGGAGGAGAATTAGGAGACAGGAAGCTGTCCTTAACTGATGTTCAGCTTCACTGGGACATCGGGCATATGCTGCAGAAAAATACACTATTAAATGTACACCGTTAAATGCAGAGTATTAAATTTTAGTCAAGATGAGTTTTTTTTACCCTCTTCTAGTGAAAGAAAGACCCATGCCTCAAAAGGAAGCTCGGTAAAAATTGTGTCTTTTAAACATCTTTACCAGTGAACTGTAAATAATTTTATTTTGAATTGTTTGGTCAGTTTGATTTCCGGAGGATAATCGATAGCTTACAGTAATTTTTCACTCTGTTGAAAATAGTATAAGCAGGGTGTGGTTCATTGTAAATATTGTTATGCTTGGTTTTCTTTTTTTTTAATAGTGCTGAAAAATGAAATAAAAACCATACCCCATAAATGATGTGTATTTTCAAGAGAGGGTTAGTAAAACTGATTACACTTTGAACAGGAAGTGACAATGCTGCAAGAGGGAGTTCCCAGCATTTGAGGATAATAAAATAAAAATAAAACCCCAACTAAATGCAACAGAGAAATGAATGTTGAATCTCTTGGCCTGGAGAAGAAAGCGAGGGTGGTACTGGCCTCATGCAGTTCGATGCTGTTGCAGTAGAATGCTTTTTAGTAAATAAAACTTAGCAAAAGATGCAGAGACAAGGTTCCATTGATGTTGTTTCCTGTGAGATAACGTGCCTGTGCTCATCTGTCTTCGTGTCAGTCTGGAGGTTTTCGTGGAACCCATTGCACTGTGTTTCAAACCCCTGTTGCTGCTCTGGCTGCTGTTTGCTCTGAGCAGCGATACCCGGGTCTGGGCTCACTGAACTGTCAGGATCCTTGGCTTTTGTTTAAGCTACTTAAGTCTGATTACATTATTTTTCTTCTTTTTCTTTTTGTTGTTTTTTTGTTTTGTTTGTGGTTTGTTTGTTTGTTAATTTCCAGTAAGATGTATGTTTATTCAAACTCAGGACACACCAAATCCAAATAGCTTGAAGTTTATTCCAGGGAAGGAGGTGCTGGAGTCGAGGACTATGGAGTTTTCCACACCAGCTGCAGCATTCTGCTCACCTTTAGCAAGGTATTATTAAACACATCATACTTTGTTTGGGGGACCGGTATGGGCTGTGTGTCTACAGCTGATGTTTAAGCACAGCTTCTGGTCATCCTGCTCCTCCTTATCCTCAGGAGCAGCTTGGTTGGATTTAAATTTTTAATACTGCTTTGCTTGTGCATGAAACGACTGTCCTTGCTAAAGCACTCCTCAGAGCTGTGTCGCAGCAGAATGCATCACGGTATAGTTTATGCAGGATTGTGTGGTGTTATTTATAAATGAGTTGTGTTGAACAGTTGCTGCGTCACCAGTGAGACCTCTGGCCCCAGTTTTGTAAAATCATTCCTGTCAGAACGCTCTTAATTCAAGTAGTTACTTGGAAATCGCGCGACTTCTCAGAACTGGGAGATAGCATAATGAAGTAGATAGTCCCCAAATACTACAAATTCAATGTAGTAGCTTGCTTGCTTTGGCAGATGTTGGTGCTACCCTGAGCTTCAAAGCCAGTGGATTTTTTTCATCACAAAGTTTTATAAAGTTTCTGTCCAAGGAAAGCCAGTTTTGGCCCATTCTGTCAGGCTGGAGCTATAAAAGGTCTTGAGAGTTGCAGCATAATGTGGAGTAGGAGTTGCTGAGCCAGGTAATTGATTTGCATGATCTTGGTGTAGAAGGGGTTTGGAGCACCCTCACAAGCCTCTTTGGGAATATTTAGAAGCATCTGTTTTTACGTGTTTGTTGTTGCTCTCACATTGGCCTCTGAAAAGAAATTCTACCTGGTTTGTGGGTGGAAGGGCTTCTTCTGTTTGGGGCTGAGATCCAGAAATGCTGCAGGGGGTCACCTCGGAGAGCTCGTTGGAGTCAGCTCTGTTTATGTTGGAAGAACTGTATGCAAAAGCAGAAGCTGTTTCATTTGACAGTGTCTCCAGGAAGCGTGGGGTTATCAAAGGTGAGCACTGACGTTTCCAAAAGATCTCTTGCAGAGCTGTTTTGAGAGCAAAAAGGATCTTTAGAAGCAAAGCTCTGCGACTTAAAGTAACAAATACAATGTGAAAGGTTTTTGAGGACATAAAACACGTTAGTGGAATGCTGGAGCTGTAGGATCCCATTATGCCCAAGTGCATCAGGTTGCAGAAGGCAATCAGCTGTCAGAAAGTGGCTTTTTGTTGTCATATATCTGCTAATAAACGTTTTCATCAAAGAAGATGTGTGTGCTGTGATGTATCCTGTGGCAGAACAGCTTCATTATGCAGGTTAATGGAAAAAAATTGCCTACTATGTATCGTTAAACCCCAGATTATGGGTTTTGTAAATGGAGTACTCATTTATTTTAAAAGGGAATATTTGTTTTCCAAAGACGTAATAAAAGCTTTCTGAAGGGGAGGGAGAATTATTTAATTGCAAATTTCATTGTGTAAGTAACTTTAAAATCCAGTTGGCTTAATGATATAAAAGGCCAGTACACGTATTGCTGTTTCATGTGTGGAAATTCTCTCAAATGGGGAGTGTGAAATCTCTTCTGTCAGTTCTTGTCACGCATTCCTCTGTGATAACATTTCCAATTCCTTCATTCATTACATTTTTGATGTTTTCCAGTCTTTCAGGAGAAAGACTTCCTTTCTTCCTTCCTCCCCCCCCCTCCCCTAATTAAAAAGCACTCTTAAAGCCTTACGCTGTGTTTAACTCTGGGTGTTTCCTACTTTTAATGATTTTTTTTTTTTTCTTTACTCTTCAGGAGTAGTATCATTTATTTATTCTGTAGGTGAATTAGTTGAGTGTTATTTTAACCATTTGTGGAGATTGGTCTTTGCATTCTCATTCTGCTTTTTAAAATATTGTCAAAAATATGCTCTTTCCTGTCATCTAAGTTGTTGTGTTGTGTTGGATGTGTGTTAATTTACCACCTCCTTGTTGGGTGCTGTATGGGCTATCTCAAGCAATTTAGTATGAATCCTGAGTATGAATACTTTCCTAAACCTTCCCGTTTTTCATGTGCCATACAAGTGACTAAAAATATTAAAACTTGCCAACAAAGGGAGTTGGTGTGTGAAAGCCTTGTGGACTACTTGGCACTAGTCCTTTTATTTATTTATTGAAGGCAGTTTTTATTGAGCACAATTGCTTTAAATAACTTTCTTTAATCTGAGGAATATTTCCTTGTATTTGCGCTACTCCTACCTGAAACAATAGGAACCTACTGATTGATGCTGAAAAATACATTTTTATATACAGAATATAATTTTACCTTTAAAAAGAACTGGAGAGAGAGTAACTCTTTCACACATCTTGTGGAAAAGTCTTGTAAGGTGTGTTCTGTTTTACTATGTACACAGCTCCATGGCAGGATGTCCTTCCTCTTAGTAAGCTGTAGGTGAAGTGACGCCAAGTTTTTGATAGTGGTTCTCGTTTTAGTGCTTATTTTTGTCTAGAAATGGATTCTAGAGCTTTTTTTCTGTGGCAGATTAATCCCTGTTGCCTGAAATGTGTGCGCATTTTGATTTTGTTTTGTTTTGTTTTCCTAACAGACAGTTATTCAAAATTGAAGGAGTTAAAAGTGTTTTCTTCGGACCAGACTTCATCACCATCACTAAGGTGAGCAGAGCAGGGGGCATGGGAGCAGATGACCTGCAGGGAAGGTTCTGAAGGAGCCAGGGGGGTGGAGGGATCACGGCCGGGTTGTGTTTGCCCAAGGTGTGGAGCTGAGGGCACCAGGCACAAGGTGTGGTGTGGAACCACGCAGTTATGCTGTTACTGTGTGGAGAGCACCAGGCAATGCTGTGAGTGATAATCTGGCTTAGAATTAAATGAAACCCAACGAACTTGAGTCTCTGAAACAGTTTGGTAAAAAAATACTGAAACAGTTTTGGTAAAAAGTGGTAAAAATACTCCTAATGTATTTAGAAGACTTTATTTTTCATCTCTTTTTAGTTAATATTGGCATGCAAGCAAGAAAACTTTTCTGTTGACTATTATAAATTGAGTCTTTTGGCAAAGCTGGACTTGCCAAAGCTCTGAAATCGAATACATGCATCAGATGTGAGAGCTCATTATGATATTTGTAATGCAAGAAGGATCTCTGCATAATTTGTTATGAGGAGGCAGATACTCTGGTTTTAATATATATATTATTTTTTAAAAATTTTTTTATTTCTGATTCTCAAAGGAGAGTGAAGACCTGGATTGGAACTTACTGAAACCAGATATTTATGCAACTATAATGGATTTCTTTGCCTCTGGTTTACCTGTGGTTACTGATGAGGCACCCAGGACAGATACAGGTAAATTGAACTCCTCAGGAAGAGGCCAGTAGCTGCCTTTAGGTTTAGTTTTTGTGACATTCAGAAGGGCCTCCCCTTCTCCCTCAGAAAAGCCTGCAAGAGAATTTAAAGTGAAAACTTGCTAGAATGAACAGGAGAGATTTTTCAGAGCGTGTGTGCTCTAGCAGAAGCAATGCTGTGCTATACCCATGAATATAAAGCCTGGTTCATGTCTCCTGGGCTCAGAGGAGTCTCTCTCTCTGCTGGAGCTGGGCTGGACTCTGGGTTTTGGCATCGTGGACCGTGAGGGTTGGACTAGATGCTCTCCAGAGGTCTCTTCCAACCCCATACCATTCTGTGATTCTGTGGTCTGTTACACTTTGTGTGTGTGAAATATTTTTGCAAGTACCAAGGCCGCATTCAGGAAGCTGTTGGGTGTTGCTGCAGATCCTTTTTGTACCGACACCTACAAAGGCTTTTATTTCCCTCCTTAAATCAAAAAAGAGTGCCCAGGGTTAATGTCCATGTCTTAATGATAGGTTTATGGTCTTACATGAACACGAAATAGTAACAAGTCTTTTCCAAACAATAGAACGTACTTGAGACTAACTTACAGTTTAACTCAAGGGGGGGTATTTTGCCTTTTATTTTCTCACTTGCAACTTAAACATTTTTTCCAGTGTTTTAAGGAAGATTATGACTGTTGAATTCCTCTCTGTTATGTCTGGATTTAATTTCGATATTAATGTTGACTTTATTTTATTTGAAAAAGTTGTCTTTAAAAATGCTTCTGTGAGACTAATGGTGACCTTAAAATTGCATCCAGAGCTGCTAAACCCAGACATATTCATAATTCTTTTCCTGCTGAATTTTTTTAGGTTGCTAGAACTTTCCACCTGAGGGTCCTGCCTTAACCTTACTCCGTCCTTATTGAATGTTAGTTGTTGCTTCCTTTAAAAGGTGGCGCTTCTGTTGTCTGCTGAGGCCTTTGCCTGTTGAGGAGAACTCTGAACCAATACTGATTTTGTCAGCCTGGGATGTAAATAAGGATAATGGAGGAAAAAATACTTACTCTGAATTAAGACTTCTGCCTTTTGGTTTCAGTCGTCTCACAGTGTTTTTATGCGATTTGGTTCTGCCATTATGGATGTGCAGTGTTAGCAATCATAGTGGAATTCTCTCCAAGTTCTGATTCACATTTTTCTTTTCCCCAAGCTGCATCAGAAGAAGATGATGAAGTTGTACTGATGATTAAAGAACTGCTGGATACAAGAATAAGGTAAACCAGGAATGTTACTGCTAGATGGAGTGAGTTAGTCTTGGAGTTTGGATTTATTTAGGGACCGGTGTGTTTTTCTTTGCTCAGTATCTAATGTGGGGATTTAAAGGGCAAAACTGGCCAGAGGTGAGAATGCTGTTCCCTCTGATTGAAAACTTTCTGTTTGGTTTTCCTTTTCAAGCAAACTGTGCTGAGCAGAGTCCGTATTGCTAAGTGATTTTAGAACCATGTATAGTCTGACCCTCCACAGTGCTTTTAAACAGGTCCCTTGGATTTAACCTGGTTATTTGTAAATAGTGAAAACAACCCAATCTTTGCATTTACAGTAGCTTTCTTTTTCCTCTGTTGTATTCATCTGTGTCTTAATTATACTTGTCCTTCCCTTGCAAGTATTCCAAAGTAGTTTTTACTCTTTTATCATACTCTACAGGAAAATTTACTGGTGGGTTTCCCTCACTGTCTGGGCTTCAGTGGATTTTGTCCTCTTACCCTGTTGCAATTTTATTGGTATTCTAACACAGCTTGAAGTTAGAAACTGGTGGTTACTAATGAAGTCTCAAGAGTGGCTATGGATCATGTTGTTTACCTGAAGTATATTTTTATGCTCATTAATTGCCTTCCAAAGTGAACTGAAAGGAATAAGCAACTTGACATTTTAGATGCAGGGGAAAATGTCTGCTGTGTTTCTAAAGCTGTGGTACCCAATGGTGACATCTTCCCCAGCTCACAAATTTCAGGAACCAGAAACATGTACGTGGGTCAAAATCGTGGAATGCAGTTTAATTTTTCCAGAAGTTATGATGAACTTGGGTTTTTTTAATTTCTTTTTTTTTTTTAGATGCTGCATTTTAAAAGGGATACTTAAAAATACCAGTTTGGTTATCTCAGAGCTGACATACGGTTCTGGTTCATTTTCCTGAGAGGAAAGAGGGAGAAAAGCAGAAATGAGCTTGAAACATTTTTCCCAAGCATATGTGCTAAATGTTGAAAAGTGTAACCCAGATACACTGCTGTCTAAAGCCATGGCAGAAAGCACAGTTCAGGAGGCCCTTTGCTGGGTGTAAGCTCCCTATAGTAAGTCAGCCCTTGATTGCCCAGTGCCTTTCCTAACGGGCATTTGGAATTTCTGCCCAAATTTCTGCTTCTCCCCACCTTTTTCTTTCTTTCATTCCCTTCCCCCTGCGCCCCTTAGAGGACCAAGAAGCTGTTGATGGGAATATTAGCAGTACTGTATCTTTCTTCACTTTACTGCAGGATAGTTTACAGAAGCTATATATAAACCAAGGGTACATACAGAGCACTTACTGTTTAATCGTTCAAAAATACATGCAAAGAAGTTGTCAGAAGGTGCGGGATGGAGGGAATGTAGATGTGAAAGGTGTGTTTAAAAAAGTTAATTTCAACTAGGAAAGATGGAAATTTTAGTCAGGTTCTTTGGCTTTCTGGAATGGGGGTGATTTGCTGTGGTGAGTTGTTAATAAATGAGTCAGATTCATAGATTATTCTCTTAGGAATGAACTCTCAAAAGAGTTATTTTGGAAATCAGTATAAAGAACTTCTGTTAGAGTAACTCGATGGTTTTAGCTTGGTCTGGAAAAATGTTGCTATGGGGATACAGTTACAATGCTGGGCATTTGGTGCTTGCAAAAGGAGACCAGGCTGCAGAAATGCTAATGGTACTGGGATGTGATCTTACCAGATGCTGGTTTCTTCACCCGTTAGCGGGATTGAGCTTTTATGTAGTTGGAGCTTTTTTTCTGTCCTGTGTAAGCTGTGGTGAACTGCAGATTTCTGGAAGCACTGACGGACTTGTCACCATCCCAGGGCAGGTAACAATGCACGTGCATCATGTGGTAGGACACGTACCCATGGCATTTGGCACATAACAGAGGCAATCATCGTTACACGTGGAGAGAGCCCCAAGGCAAACCAGTATTTGTTTGCAGGCTGAATCGAGCTCTGTTCTAGGCTGCTTAGCCTTGCCTAGAATTTCAATGATTCCTTCCTGTGCTGCTGCATTCATTGCAAATACGTTTTGCTCAATATCCTACAGGAAAACAGTAGCCCTCAATGTGAGAGAGTCCAGCAAAGTATGTATGGTGGGAAATTCCAACCAGGTGCTTGTAGAGAAGGAGAGCTGTAGTTACTATTTTGTGACAGTTCACTGTGTGTATTAAATGGAGCTTTACTAAGGATTTCTGGAAGGAAACGTATTTCAGCTATGCTTGCTTTAAATTGAGTCTTGTGTTCCATCAGGCCGACAGTGCAAGAAGATGGTGGTGATGTTATTTATAAAGGCTTTGAGGATGGGATTGTGCAGCTGAAGTTGCAGGGTTCGTGCACCAGCTGTCCCAGCTCCATCATCACCCTGAAGAACGGGATACAGAACATGCTCCAGTTCTACATCCCTGAAGTGGAAGGCGTGGAACAGGTGGGTTGGTGAGAGATAACACCTGTTTTCTTTTAAATAGGAAAGACAGTCCCTTTCCAGCGTGGACAGGTTGGTGGTTTAAGCAAAAGCACAGGAGGTATAGATGCAGTTTTTCCAGGTCAGAAGCTGTATCTTAGCAAAAGATCCAGAACTCTGCAAAGTCCTGTACAACCCCGTGCACCTAAATCTGCTGGGGGGTTCCTGGTGGAAAGCAGCTTTGCAGAAAAGGACCTGGGGTGCTGGGGGGTGCCAAGGTGAACCTGAGCCAGCTGTTGCCAGCTGTGTGCCCTCGTGGCAAAGGAGGCTGATGATGCCAGGGCTGCTTTTGGAGGAGTGCTGCCAGCAGGCTGAGGGGAGGTGGTCCCTCCTTGGACTCGCCATATGCCCGTGTCCCTCTGGCATTGAGGAGCCCAGACCTGGACGCTCTGTGTTTTGCCTGTTACCTTTGTGCTTTGGGGACTCTTTGTGATAATAAGGGGCAGGCTTTTGTCCCTTAAAACACCGATTCTTTTACTGCCTCATTAAAAATCTGATACGCTGGAGTGATTGTTTTAGTGGCCTTTGTAATACCTCGACCAGCTCCTATTAGTTCAGCCACGTTTCCTCCTGGCATTTTTGATTGCCAGTTGTTTCTTACTTTTTTCATGTGACCATTGTCATTCAGCAGCGTAGAATAACTGCTGCTCTCGCTGGGTCCAGCAGGGGTTTAATGTAATAAATTCTCTATGCCATCCTGTGGGACTGAGAGTTTAAACTGTTTACCTAAGCTACTTCTGGATTTGTTTTCAGGTTGTTGACGATGATGATGACGTGGAGAAAGAAGCAAATTCTACTTGAACTTGCATCATTTATGGCTGAATACGTATTTACCTCCTGGTGTATGTAAACTATCTTTGTGCTGAGGAACAACCAAATTTGCCTTTCTGTTCAGGAAAATAGTTGCACTTACAGCTGTGAAAATGTATCATCAGCTTAAGCAGTTTGTTCACTAATTTATTAAATGCCCTACATTTAAAAAAAAGAATTCTTCTGTTCTACTTTGTACTATGTCTTAAGAAAGAAACGGTGGGCATTAAAAGTGGTGATGAGTCTCTCTGTTGTTCTTTCATACAAAAAATTCAAGACTGAAAAAGAAGGCAGAAGTAAAATTTCTTGACTCGTTTTTTGTGCAATAGAATTATTAAATGTTTATTCCCCCAAACCTCCTTATGGGGCTTGCAGGGCTATCTGCCCTTGCTCTGTAATTGGGAAATTCAGGAATGTTAATTTTATCAAGTCTTGTTAAAAAGCTTTTGATTCATATCAGGTTTTTGTGTTTGAAAAATAACCCATAACTTCAGCTCTTCATTTTAGAGAATGTAATGTTGCCATCACTTGTGGAAGGCTACCTACCTGCTCACTACCACTGTGCAAACAATAGCAACAGAAAGGAAAAATGGGAGTTGTTTGTTATAAAAATCCTATCTTCTAAAATAAATGTTAGAAGATGATGATCCTTATCAGCTGTAGTAAACAGGGAGACTAATTAGCTTATTTGGAAGTTAAATGTACAGCCACCATTAGTGGTCTGTTTAAACTTGCAAAAGATTCATCTTGATGTTGGAGTATTATGTTGAGCATTAATGTGCAGTGCTTCAGGGCACAAATTACATTTGTAGGCTCGCAAAGAGAACGAATGTGTTTACCTGTGCCATATCCTGTTTGCTCCTTCTGCGGTGCCAGAGAGCACAGCCCGTGTGTAACTTGGCTGCCCTGGCTGAGCCAGGGAAGACGTGGCAGAACGGAACCAGTTCCTGTTTTAGGGACTATGGGAAGAGAAATGTTTATTGTCCTGAAGCTGAAATACGTAAATCAGGCTTTGCAAGTGCTTCTGTTTACTTAGGACAGTCTCTTTCTGGTGCCTGGCTTCAGCTGGCTCTGCTGGTGGAAGTACCATTTCAGTTTTGTGCTGCCACAATTGGGCTGAGTTTGGGGTTGTTCTTTGGCTGATGGTCACAGTCACATTCCCTGTGTGCAGGGATTTGATAGCCCTGGGGTACGTTCCCCTTTTTCACTCCTTGCCAGTGTAATTCCACCGAGTCCCTAAACAGGATCAGTTAACTCAGTGGAGAATCTTTTATATAGCACGCAGATCAGCGTGTGGTAGCCATAAATGTCTTATTACTTGTTAGAAATTTGAAAATAAATATTTCAGTAAAATATTTCTTCAGATTTTGTAGAGAGTAATAAGCTAGAGTCATTTAAACTACCCTCTCAGGATTTGAAAGTTGGTTTGAAATGACCGTATTTTCTTTACCCTGTTCCAAAGTACACGGTGCCTGATCTTACAAGTGACAAAATTCCCCTTGAGGTTGGCCCAGACTATCCAAAAGAGAGATTGTGCAAGTGTTACCACCATGTTCTTCTTTGTCAGCAAACCATAGAATGCCAAGTAATGTTTCTGGTTTCTCAAAAATAGTCTTTTTTGGGCCCAATTTGTCAATTTAATGCACTATATAAGCCAAAACCTAAACAGTAAAGTAGCAGTTTTGTGTGTTAAAGAAAATGTATGTCTTAAACCTGTGGTCTTTCTTATTCAACTAAGCAGTACTAATCTGTCCCAGATAGAGTAAGGATCCAGTTCTGCCGCTGTCTTAGTATTTCCAGTCTTGTTTTTAATGGGGTTTTGATTTGCAGAGATGGGACTGAACGCAGCCTCCCTGCTCTGGGGCTGACGATGCAGCGTCTTCTGATTTTGAGACTGAAGAGGTTCCATGTCCAGCGTGTATCCTGTGTGTCCTCCAGTTCCTCAGACTCTTCTTCTGTAGAGAGAAGCACGTAACGCTCGTGTGCCACCCCCTTTTACCTGCTCCATCCCACTCAGAGTAAGCTCTTCAGGGCAGTGGTTGCATTTCTACAGCGTGAAGTAACGGGGGGCTCTGCAACTCTGGATGGAGGGGAGCAGGGGCGAGAAGGTGAAGTGCCAGTTCTCACTTGGGGAGCAGAATGAAACCCAACCACAGCATTAATGATAACCATAAACTCTAATCCTCTGACAGCCCAGTGTGGTAAAGTTGTCAGTCCAGATCATTAGGAGTTTCTGTGTGAACCTTCCAGGCTCTGTCTGGAAGGGATTAGTTCATGGAAAGAATCCCCGTTGGCGAGAGGCGTCCCATCTCCTCCACTGGCCCAAAAGCCCTTTCACATTTCATGGACGTCGAGGCAAACAGGGGAGCGACTGTCTGGTGTTGAGCTGAGGAGTTGGTGTGGTGGCTGCTGTGGTAGGGAACGGGGAGTTCTCATCATCCCTTTTTTAAAAAGGGCTCTTCAGTTCGGGGGCTGGGAAGCTGTGCTGGAGTGGTCAGGTTAGTGAGGTTTTTTGTCTGAAGTTTTTCTATAAATGGCAGTTAGTCATTGCATTTAAAATAGCAATGACTGCTTGAAATTATTCTGGTTCTTTTTTTTAAAAAAGAAAAAAAAATACTTTGGTGTTTTTGCTGCTCCACAGATAGGTGCAAAATTGCAGTCTGTTGTTCAGCCCCTTCTGTTTTCACCCACGTCAGCTGGAGCAAAACACACAGGATCCATTCATGTTTCCTGAGGACTCTCTTTCACAGGAGAAGTTGATTACAACTCTCTAAACTCAGGTCGTGAAGCTGTTCACAGGTGGAGATGTGCTTTTTGTCGGGAGGTGACTTGTTCCCCATTTCTAGGAGGAATGAGCCCGTTTGAGGCAGCCTCTGCTCACACCGTCCTGTGTGGAGCCATCACCAGCCAGAGCTCCCCCTGAGTGGTGTCAGAGCAGGAACCTCCAGCACAGCAGCAGGAGGAAACAGCTCCCCTTCCCTGGTGGTAACACCCAAAATGTGTTATATCAGGGGTCACAAAACATACTCTTTTTTTCCAGCAGGTAGTAGTTTACAGTCTGTCTAAAACTGTGGACTTTAGCCAGAACTTCTATTTCAAGTGAAGTATGTTGACCATGGAGAAGGAAGTGGGTATTTTTTTTCCCAATCATGACCCCTTTTTGTAAATTTTAAAAGGCTCACGTGAGATAGTTTGGTTCCCCCAAACTCTCCCCCCACCTCAAGGATTGTGTCCAGTTTTGGTCCCCTCCCTCCAAGAAGGACCTTCAGGGGCTGGAGCGGGTCCAGAGAAGAGCAACGGAGCTGGTGAGGGGTCTGGAGCACAAGGAGAAGGGTCTGGAGAACTTCTGAGGGAGCTGGGGGTGTTCAGCCTGGAGAAAAGGAGGCTGAGGGGAGACCTTCTGGCTCTCTCCAACTCCCTGAAAGGAGGGTGTAGCCAGGGGGGGTCGGTCTCTTCTCCCAAGGAACAGGCGATGGGACAAGAGGAAACGGCCTCAAGTTGTGCCAGGGCAGGTTCAGATTGGAGATTAGGAACAATTTTTACCCTGAAAGGGTTATTAAACCTTGGAATGGGCTTTCCAGAGCAATGGTTGAGGCACCATCCCTGGAGGGATTTAAATGACAGGTTGACATAGTGCTTAGTGAGATGGTTTAGGGATGGTTTTTAGGGATGGTTTTTTAGTGATGGTTTCTCCAGGCTGAACACCCCCAGCTCCCTCAGTCGCTCCTCACAAGACTTACTCTCCAGAGGAATAAACATGAGGAGGAACTTCACTTTGAGGGTGGCAGAGCCCTGGCAGAGGCTGCCCAGGGAGGTGGTGGAGTCTCCTTCTCTGGAGACATTCAAACCCCTCTGGACACGTTCCTGTGGGACCTGCTCTGGGTGGCCCTGCTCTGGCAGGGGATTGGACTGGGTGATCTCCAGAGGTCCCTGCCAACCCCATATCATTCTGTGACTCTGTGCATGTTTCTGGTGGTCACCTCTCTGTGGTGATGGGTCAGCGATCCCCTCCTCAGCCAGGAAATCAACTTCCACTGCCCCAAGGCATCCAGCTTCCCACCTAGAGATGTGGAAGTGGGGGGAAAAATCGGAGTTTGATGCCAGCCAAAGGGGAGATAAAGCCCCAGAGGCTCAGCTCCAGGTCGCTGCTCCCCACAGCCCAGTCCTGGGCACAGGGACTGGCAGCCTGGGGTTGTCCTCGTCCTGTCCTCGCTGCTGAACAGGAGCAGGGTGTGATGGCTGCCAGCTTTTAATGTGTTTTATATCCATGACCTGCCTGCTTGTGTTTGTGTTCTAACAGCGCATTAAAAATCTGGGATTTTTTTATGTATATTAACCTTTTTGGTCATTTTCTGGGTGTTTTAAGGAAATCTTTCCTTATTGTCTAGATCAAACTAAGTGAACAGCATTTTTCTGAAGAAGGGGTTGCCATCTTTTTGTAGCCTTGGGCTTTTAATGAGTTTTTCAGCCGGTACTTGCTGGTGGTGGTTGGATGCGGGGGGTCTAAGGGAGCTGGATCCGGCTGGAGGAACGGGGTGTCGCTCCCCAGTCCCTCCCACCCCCTTCCCTTTGCAGATTCACCTTAAAGTTCCCTTTTTGGTGCTTCAGGTGCCGTTCTGGAGCCGAGTAGAAATACGAGGATGAGCCGCGTGGATTTGTGTCGTTGGTGGGTTGGGGGGGATGTGCTGTGGCTGGGGGGGGTGGTGTGGGGTGTGTGTGGGTACCGGAGGCTGTCGGTGCTGCTTGTTCACC